CCTATTTTCTAGTTACCAAAGATCTCAAGTCAGTAATTCCAAAGTAGTAACAACTGTCAGGATTGTTAGGAGTTAGTGAAACATTTGCAAAATATTTAGCACAGGCCTGACTCAACTGACCTATGATTACCCATAAACAAACTGGGTGTGGTGGTGCACATCTGTAATCCCAGCACTCAGGAAGCTGAGGCAACAGAACAGCAAGGTCAAACCCAACCTGATCAACATAACAAGGCCATCTCAAATAAACGGATGATGAATAAATACATATAAATAAATAATATAAATGATTAGGAAAGAGATGTAGTTCAGTATGGAGGCTTCCAGTTCAATCTTTAGTATTGTACCCAAAAAAACCCATAAATAATATTTGTTTGGTTGGAGCTAACATGAGGAGCAATTTCCTTCGGGAAATAAATTCCTTTAACATCTCTGAAGAACAACAGTTAAAAATGCTAGACACTAGATCTCATGACGGTTATAAGGTACAAGCTTTCTCCTCAACTTTAAGATACAATGAACAAAACAAAAAACCTACACTCCCAGTAAAACTTTATAAATGGACAGACTCTATTTTCTCCTGTTACTTACTAGACAAAGCTACAATGTGCAGATTATTACAATGTGCAGACTAGTGTCAACAACCCAACAAGTTTTAAAAAGTTGACAATGAAAAAACCTGTGAAGGTGTGAAGTTGTTTAATGCACACTGTACAATCGGTTATTTTGGGCAATGAAGTAAATAACTTGGAGAACAGAGGAAATTAGTTTTAAACAGAATTAGAAAAATACCTTTTCTTGGCAGACAGATAATTTTAACTCCAGCACATTTATCTTCAGGACAAAAGTGTTTAGTGTGTTTATGAGATAGCAACATAATTAAAACTCTTCTGAAATCATGTTTATGATGGACTTGAGTGTTTGCAAACATTCCTGGTTAAATATGGGAATAGGGCCAGGAATATAGCTCAGCGGCACAGTGCCTACCTAGCAAGCATGAAGTTGCGAATTGGACTCCTGGTACCAAAAAAAAAAAAGAAAGAAAGAAAGAAAGAAAGAAAATCTGGGAACTATCTTAATGCCATGCGATATTTGATAAAGTATTAAGTATAAAGTATGAAGTAATTAAAGAATGTGGGAAATTTCTTGGATTTTGTTTTAACTGAATTTCTGTGTGTTTACATGAGTGAAATCACGACCCTGGTTTTACATTTTTTCGTGGTTCTTTTGAGGTTCTCATTCTGTAATTCAGGCTGATCTTGAACTCACTATGTAGCCAACGCTGGCCTAGAACTTGCTGCAATCCTCCTGCCTCAGGTTCCCAAGTGCCAGGATCATAGGCATATACTACCACGCTGACTGCCCTGGTTTTCAACTTGTTTTCTTCATAGATAGCATACAACGTTAGACCCTTGCTTGACAGGCACATAGTAGGCCCTCTTTTGTGTTCAATTATTTGGAAATTATAATATGACTGAGCAATAATGAAAAGTCTTGCCAATTGGGTGTGATATCTCACATTTCTAATCCCAGCACTCTGGGAGGCAGGGGGAGGAAGATTAAATTTTAAGCCCAATCTGAGCAGTTTAGCAACACAGATATAACTCAGTGGGAAGGCCTTAGGTTCAATCTATAGTAGCATACACGCGCGCACACACACACACACAAATTTTCCTTCTGAAGAGAAATTCAAATGACAACGACCTAATAGTTCTGTAGAATCACACTGCCTCAGCACTGATAAATGGCAGAATTTCTTGGGAACTGGCCCACAGTACATACTCCAGTGTCTCCAGAAAGGGTGAAGGTGCTGTAACTCTGTCCTTCACCACAAGACTGGGCCTGGCAGTGGTGGGGCAGAGAATCACCGTCTTAGGAGAACCAGGCTCCCTGCCTCCGTATCCCATACCACCTCTCTATGCTGAGGACACATCTAATCACAGGGCAGATCTCCTGTACAAACAGATGACATACACACAGACTTTTAATTACTTCAGCAAATTCTTCTTATATTCCTTATTTTAAAAATTTAAGCACAGAATTAGCGTAATGCTGGATATACTCTAACCCTCTATAAACACATAAAATCTAAAACTTAGAATAATTTAGGAAAATATCAAGTCTTTGGCACACAGATTTGTTGTTAATTTTTTTTTTTCTTTTTCCTTTTTATCGGTACCAGGGATCGAACTCACGACTGCCTGCTTTCAAGGCAGGCGCTTATGCCACTGAGCTAAATCCCCAGCCCCACACACAGATTTACATTTTTCTATTAGAAAATTAAGTGTTTCCCTGTACTGCGGCCTGAACCCAGGATCTTCACACTAAGATATAGTTCTACTGTAACAGGAAATTAACAGTGTAACAGAAAATTCAAAATGTAAAAACTAGCTCACAGTTTAACATCACATTAAGACAAGATGTGCTCATCTGGCCCATCCCACAGCTGGACCACAAACCCAGTCAGCTCTGACTGCATCCAGCTGCTGTCCATAGATGGTCTGGTCTAGGTCAGCTAACCCAGTCCAGCTGCAGTGCTTCTATCTTCCTACCTAAAAATACCCTGTTTTACTAATCTGTTCCAAGGACTGTCTAGCCTAGTCAAGGATAAGAACATACATGATTTCATCCACCTCCTCGCCCCAACTTCCAGGACTCTTCCGCCTTATGATAAATCCCTCTAATTCAATCTGCCCAATTTGCCTCACAATGTATGATGTAATCCGTAACTGATTCACTATCAGCTTTTCTACTTCCTGCTTGCAAACCCTGTATAACCAACACTCAAAACTGACGTGGGACTGCCAGCCTGCCAGTGTAGTAGTTTGCCTGCTAACTCCTTCGTGCAAGACGTCATCCTTTTGGTTCAGTACTGGGTTTTTGCAACACTAGCACTTTACAGGGTTTTTTGTTTTTAATTTTGAGCCTGGATCTCAGGAAATCACTAAATCATCTAAGCTGGGCTTCAACTTGCAATCCTCCTGCCTCAGCTTTCCAGAATGCTGGAGTTACAAGTGTGTCACCAAACCCTGCTCAAAACTGTTTTATTTAAGCTGGGTAAACTTGAATCATGCTGTTCACAAATGAATCTTCTGTGCTCCTTGAAAAAGTCTAATAAATAAAAATCTGGTGTCTAGAAAAAAATCATTAAAATTTTTTCTATAGACCAGAAAGTAAATTTCTGTAGTATTTAAGTACCTTTACAGTTTTATTATTCCTAAATAGTATAAAAAGTTCCCAAAGCACCCACATTGCAGAGTTTCTACCATTTAAGTTCTGTCAAGCTATGTGGTACTACCTTTAGAAAGTAGCCAGTACTTTTTTTAATGGAAAAAAAGAATCTAAGTTTTTAAGGATTTTGACAGTCTTTCTTTCTTACATAAGTAGAATGTTTCTGACCAGCAAAACTTGATGCAAACTTGAGCTAACAAACTCTCAGGTCTTGAAAACCCATCTGACCTAGGTTTTAACTTTTGAAATAGCCTATAAAAGATCACCCTGAACAGCCATTTAATTCTTCAGATCCTTCCAATTTGTTTCTTCGATACAAATTTGATAAAAATTACTTTTACAAAGCAGTAATTGGAGTAAAAATAAAATACTAATGGTCAATAAGGCACAGCTTGCTACCTAAATGTGAACTGTATAGCCACAGCCCAACCAGAAGTCATTCACACTGAGCTGGATCCATCTTAATTATAAATTTCAGACGTCAACTATAAATAATCTAAGCAGAAGTACCTAGCAGTTGTTTCTCCCACTGCTATGTAAAACCATCTGTATTCCTCAGCACAAAAGCCAACAATCTCCCAGTGTGTGTGGAGGAGAGACCTCTAAGACAATACTTGCATACAGGAACGCAGAAAACACTGGAATCTATCATAAATCTGAAAAATGTCTAGCATGGACTAACTAGAAAAGAACCACACAAGTTTGATTAGTGAAACTGATACTCTGTCCTAATCACATAATGTGTAGTTTACTGCATTTATGTAACTTTTACCACTGGACTACTTGTGAAGATGAAAATCTTTCTCAGTATGTTTGTTCTCTATCTTGAATTTTTTTTTTTTTTTTTTTTTTAGCATGCTGCATCATAAATTAGAACATACCCAGGAAGAACAGACTTTGGACACAAACTACTCAGACTGTCTAGGTCTCTTAACTGATCTCCTAAATCCTAGAGCAGAGGAAAGAAAATGTGCAGGGTAATCAGCTACCCGGAATGACTCACTACTAGATGTTGTCCAGAAACCAAACTACCCAATTTCAAGGATCGAAAATTGGTTGCTCAGTGACTAAATGCTTTCCTGCAAAATTTCCCTCAAGTTTCAGGTTCTCTGTGTGTTGAATTGAGATTTTTACTAAATTACCAAGACACAACTAAATTTATGATGTGATACAGGGAGTAGCCTAGATGGCATTTCATTAATGTTGTCTGTAATTCCATCTTAAAACTTGAAATTATGTACACAGATATTAGCTTTTACTGAGAAAGGACAAGGTCTAGACTTAGCTCGCTGTAGAAAATATGGGGAAAACCTGGTAAATTTGCTTTAGTTTTAAAACTAATTACAACACTCCACAATACGCCAGTTTTTTACTAATTTGTTTTCTAATGGAAGGGCAGTTACAAATAATTAGAAAATATCTTAATTGATGAGTGAATGTCTATACTGCAGCATCACTACAAGAAGGATGTTTCAAGGATAGTATGGCAAAAACTCTAAGCTCTACAATTTTAATTCTCCCCCTCCCACCCACTGTCCTTTGTGTGTGTGTGTGTGTGGAGACACAGTCTTACAAGGTAGGACAGGTTGGCTTTAAGCTCCCTATGTAATCCAGGTCAGTCTTGAATTTAAGGTGATTCTCATACCCCAACCTCCCTAGTGCTGGGATTACAAGCATGTGCCACCATGCCTGGCTTTCCAGAACAAATTTTGATAAATTTTTGTTCTGATACCAATTTTTGACATGGTACATAAAAAAACAGTCCAGCCTTAATGGATAGTAAATGTTTTATTTAAAGATTTTTAGTGTAAAAAAAAAGGTGCACAAATACAATTACATTACAATGACCAAGGCAGTATTCTACATGACAAAAATAAAAACAAAACAAATTTATAATAAATGTACCAGCACTGAACAAGCATAATACTTGATGTTTAATCCAGGCTGCATATGCATAAAATGATTTGACCACATACGTATGCAAAATAAATTATTTCCTAGAACACCAAAATACCAACCATTCTGACTGTCCACTGCCCAATAAGTATTATTAGAGAACTTCCATATACCATAAAAAGGACTGGCATGGCACTTAAGACTGCAAAAAATAGAACACAATTAAAAATTAATTTAAAACATATTTGTAATGCAATTTTGTATAAAATATACACAGTACATCTCATTAGTTAAAAAAATTTAAAAACAAAAGACCATCCTGGATAATAAGGTTAAAAACCTCATCACAGAAAAATGCTCATCATTTATATATTATTGGTTGACAACTAAGAAGATTTCATAGGGAGAAGCAAAAAAGATATGTAACAAAGTCATTTGTTTAAAATTTTTTCAAGAATGTTGATAAGATTGTAACTTGCTGCTCGTCTTGTCTTAAAATATTTTACCACAAATACACTTTACTATTTAACCATAGGATAAAAAGAATAACTTGAAGAAAGTGTTCCTCAAAATAAGATCCAAAGGCCAAAAGAATTTTAACATGGCCCCAAAAACATTCATTTTAATCGAACTCCTTATCTGATTATTCCATATTGTGAAATGTCCTATGGGAAACAGCACCACTTAAAAGCAAAATCATAAACGTTTTTCTGACAAGTGATAATTCTATAAATTTATGATGTGAATACTGATTTTTTTGTTTTAAAACAAGTTCCAGGCATTAAGAGGAATATATGTATCTCTGAAATAAACATGTAAAGGTATATAAACATTTTCCTTTGAGTTTTCATTACTCTCAAATTTAGTTACTTGAAGAAAATATATGACTACCTGCTTTGGAAAAGTTACATTTCTAATGAAATGGAGCATCAAAAAATAAAAAGATAATTTATTAAATGTGTACAAATTTTAAATCTTTCTAAATTTAAAACTAGCTATCTTCGCTAAAACTAAATTTTGCTAAGATTGTACAACTGTAACTTGTTTAGATGATCATGGCTACTTTTCAAAGTCCTTTGCTCAAAAATTGTATTAAACAGAGGAAGGCTACATCTGGAACCTCCTTAAATAATAAACTGCTAACTAATAATTTTAACAAAAATAGTCTGAAGAACTCTGCCCCTGAAATGAATTCTACTGTTACATGTGTTACCTACTAAATAAAAACTCGATTAAGGAGATAGAATATACAGAGATATAATTTATGTACATTTTGTACACTTTTTCTTAAGTATCATTATTTTGAATTTCACTGAAGACTCTGGAGCCCAAAAGTACAGGTAACATGGTGGGACAGAAAAAAGCATAGTTAAGACGTTCTACTTAAGAGACAAATTATTCTCCTGTGTTGTAAATTACAAGAAAATTTATACATTCTGTCCTCACTTAATGAATGGAATGTTTACAAGTTTGGTAACAAGTCAATACCTCCTCCTTATTTGTCAATAACAAAAAGCAACTGTAGGATATACTATTTTTTTTGTTTGTTTGTTGAGACAGGGTCTCACTATGTAGTTCAGTCTGGCTTGAACTCATGGTGATACTCCTGTCTTGGCCTCTTGAGTGCTGAGATTATAGGCCTACGCCACCACACTCAGCTGATATACCCTTTAAAAAGAAATATTGCTATTGTACTTTCCTGTATCTACTTTAAAATTTAGGGGTTTTTCCTCTTTATATATACTGAGTAATCTTTCATTTAACTGTTTAGTCTTTTGGACTATAAATATTAACATCACTTAAAAGGGCAACTCTCTATGCTAAAAAAGAAATCACTTGTGCAAGTTTTTCCAAAATAGCTAATGATTTGGATTCTGATTCTAAATAAAACATGTCTACATTTTAACTGAAAAAGAATCTCTCTCTGCACTCAAAAGGTTGAGGCAGGAAGATTGGAAATCCAAGGACAGCTTGGGTTACACAGTGAGTTCAAAGTTAATATAGTCCACATAAGGGGACAATATCAGAGGAGACAGAAGGGGGACATGGGGAAAAGGAGAGGGAAAGAAAAGAAAATCCTCTAGGAAATGTCTTTTATTACCAATTTAGTAACTGTTACCTTAAAATTCAATAATCATCCAAGGAAATATTTTAAATTAAGCTTTTATTCCAAAATTAAACCTTCAAATGACTTAACACAGAATGATAAAAATCACAGGACACTAACGATGTTCTCCTCATGTGCCTTAAAGCAACAGACCTTTTCTTTTAAAGCAGTGGTATTTCCTTTGAACAAACAGGTATCTTTCTTTTCCGTCAGTAGGCCTGAAGAACCAGCGTAACTGAATTTCAACGTGATTGTCTGGCAGCTAATTTTAATTTCTTTTTTGTAGTTAAATTTAGATGTAATACTTGATTCTTCTACTCTATAATAGAGGATAGTGAATTTTTCTGTAGATAGCAAATATGAAATAGTTAACTGTATCCAGGGTGGTAACCAGTTTTTTCACGTATTAAATGGCAACATAAGCAGAATGCAGTTGAAAAATACGGCTCAGACACATTCTTCTGCAGACATCAGAAGAGGATTGATATACTCAAAACCTTCAAATTCAGATTGATCAATCTTCCTCACAATGTCACTGTTGAAAGAAAAATAAATTTATTTTCATCACAGTCAAGATTTCTTCAACATTTAAAGGGAAATAATGTTAAAAATTTAAAAAGAGCTAATCATATACATTCTGGAAAAAAACCTACAAATTCTAAGATTAATCCTCAAATACTTTTCTTAGAAGAATCAAGAGAAGTAATGGAAAAATAAAATAAAGTAAAATAAAATAAAATGAAATAAAGACAACAATCCCACAAGCAAACTTAGAACCAAAAGGTAGTTCAGAACTGATCAGGAATAAAAATGGCACAAATTATCACAGTTCCACTTAGCCTTCACTTTTGACCTGAACAACATTCTTAATTAGGTGAACATCCAGATATTGTTAACATCCAATGCAATAGTCACCTCAATAGCCAGATGGAAGATGGTGAAGAGAAGCCCCAGAAGAAATTAGCCAAAGGGAAAAGGCAATAGTAACAAGCACACTGAGAGAGCGGAATAAGGAGAAAACATCACAGGGAGGTAATGGAGCACAGAGAAGACGCAGCCTTCTGCTACACTGGGCTTCTGGCTTAGCGTTCTGCAAGAGAATTCCTAGCAAACATTTTAATACCTAGGCGGACATACCACACTGCAGAGCACAGAGTTACAGAGCCAGAATTCCTTCTTTTAAGTAGGTAGGTATATATACTGGGAAGCCATAAATGAGAACAGTGTCTGCTGATTCATATATGATGAGCAAAGTCCTATTTAAACACAATTCTAAAAGGAGGGTGACTTCCAGTTGGTGAAATCAAGGAAGGCAGTGTTTACTCCACAAACATTGAATGAATGGAATAATGAAGACTGTTACATGTCTGGAAAAAAACGTAAGTAATTTATTAGCATTGGAGCGTAGTAACAGAAGAGTGCTAAATGGTAAATGATGCCGGAAGGAAAGCAATGGCTAAAGAAGCCAATAATGTTTATACTGAAGATTTCTGCCTCAAACCATCAAAGATCTGGTTGCATCGGAGGTGACTGTGAGCAAACAGGTCAAAAGATGGAGGAATACAGGAATAAGCAGGGATAGGCAGAAGGAGAATGATGCCAATAGGGAAGGTAATAACTGAGATTAATCAGAATATCATTTGTCATAGTGAGATACACTACAGAGTTAAGCTGGAGCAGGCTGGGAGAGGTTTTAATTGCTAGTAGTAGCCAAGAGGAGTGATGTTACATAATAGGCAATGCAACTGCTAGTGAAGGTTTCTGATTAAATGAACTAAAAAATTGAAGTGGTACTTCATGAGGGCCACAAACCTGGCTGCATAGTAAAGGAATAAAGGAGATCAATATGGAAACTGATTAACCCTCTTGGTATAATGTAGATGGCACTGGAACTAGGGTTATGACAAGAGATGAGAAAAGAGATTCTGAAGTAAATCACGCAGTAAAGAAAGAGCCTAAGACTTGGCAAGCGCGGGTATTATGTAAACTCTTAAGGAAAAAGAGGCAGCAACCACTGACATTTGAATCCAAGTGACAAGAATACACGGTGATACAATCAGTAGAAATAAGTAAGTAACACCAAATTGAAAACAACAGAAAAAGAGGAAAAAAAGGTCATTAGTTTGACTCTGTATTTTCACATATAGGAGGTGTTTGACAGACTGGGGGAGATGGAAGTGCAGTTCAGAGAGATCAGGGGAGGACTGGATGCTCCAGAACCATCACTCATTATTCTCCACAGAAACCCTAAGAGGTGAGGACAGGAGAACAAACAGGCTCGGGGAAGCTATGCAATTCAAACCTAAGTTACCGCTTGGTAAGAGATGGCATCGGGATTCAAACACTCATCTTTCGATGAAGGCCAGTGTTCTTTTTAACAGAGAATGCTCTCAGGAACAATGATTTGGTATGTGTCTCTCTTCTAGTAGTCAGAAAGTTTTCTGTGAGATTGGACTGTTTTGATCCTCTGTGAATTTCTACTACTTAGTTTAGGCCTCTTGCTCAATAACTACTTGCCAATTTAAGGAGCTCATGCTCATGCTGCAAGACCAGTTGACATTTCCCAACTACAAATTGCATACAGCAAAGAGAAAGCTGTCATGAATAGAACCATGGAGTATCCTGGTATCAAGAGGAAAGGGGAAAAAATTAAAGGTAAATGGTCACACAGAAGAAATAGACAAGACGAACAGTTCTACCAAACACCAGGGTATGAGTGTCAAATGATTTACGGAAATCGGGGAAGATGAAGACTAATCAAAAAGTGCTTTATAATTTAAAAACTTAAGAAGTCAATTTGACCTTCAAAACCTGAAGGATAAGGTTAAACTGTAATGGGTAAACATGTTTTCAGGAAAAAAGTATAAAACAATCAATGCTTCTGTAGTTTATCAGGGATAATCTTATTTATTTTACCATAAATACCCTTTAAGTATTTGTAAAAGCTTGAGAGAGAGAGAGAGAGAGAGAGAGAGAGAGAGAATGTGGTTGTTAAGCAGGAGGATTCCAAGTTTGAGGATAGCCTGGGCTACCTAGCCAGAATCTGTCTCAAAAAACAAAAAACAAAACAAACAAACAAAAGTAAGGGCTAAAATTTAGGAATATCTGAGTCTGTTTGCAGTAGAGGTAAGTAAGCCAGAAAGAATAAATCAAAGAAGGGGAAGCAACAAAATACATGAAAAAATGAAATCCCAGAACAAATTAAATAAGTCTAGGAAAATTAAGAGGACCCCGTTTCCTAAAAGGGGAGTGCAGGGGCTGGGGATTTAGCTTAGTGGCATAAATGCTTGCCTGACAAGCGCTAGGTTGTGAGTTTGATCTCTAGTACCAAAAAATAAATAAATAAAATAATAAAAAGGGAGTGTCTTTTCAGAGCAGGGACAACAAAAAGGTTGAGAAGAGTTAGCAATCCTGAAATACAAGGTATTCTACAGACAGTGGCCAAGGAGGCAAGCTCACACAGCTTGAGGTCTCAATCCTTACAGCAAAACTAAGGCCAGGTTACTCCACTAAGAGAGACGGAGGCAGGGGTAGGACTGAGGCTTCTTTAAAAAAAGAAAAAAGAAAAAAAGATTATTTGGAACAGCTGCTGGGAAGAATGTGATCAAAATTAAAATGACTGCCAAATAATAAAGACCTCCTTGAGATCAGAAACAATAAATCTGAAATGATAAATGATTCACAAATTATCCTAAACTGCATTTTAAAAATATGCAACATAAGCATAAAAATATTGATAACTTGATGTAACTTTTAAGCTAACAGTCAGAAACTTAAAGATGTTCATTATCAAAGCTGGAAGCAGTAGCATGGTGGAAAGCGCACAGGTCTTAGTCAGATCTGAATCCTGACTGCCACCTGACAGCTGTGTAACTCTGCTTAACCTCTCTGAGCCTCCGTTTCTTCATCTGTAAAATGAAGATGACAATATCTAGTTTACAAGGCTGCTGTGAGAATTAGGATAATGCATGTAAAGTAAAAAATGGTGACAGTCATCAGTACAATTTGTAATAATACATAAGGGTTCAAATATCCAGGAGTTGATCACATAAATTATAGTAAAATCCGATAATAAAACTTTGTGTAGCTACTTAAAATTGGGTTTTCAAACTTATCTTTAAAAAGAAGTCACTGCAGTATATAGAATTACTTACTCATCATCTGGAGTAAGCTGGACAGGTTCATTAGTAAACTGAGAATCAAAGTTGTCCAAACCAAATTCTCCAGAAATATTTGGTTTAAATGGAGGTACCACCTGTTTTTGCTCCATCTGAAAAGATAAAGATACACCAGATGACAGCTCACCTTAGAAAACTTCCACTCTATTTTTCTCTTCTGCTTTCAATTGTTTCACTAGGCATGGTTTTACACAATATTAACAATGAGGGATATAATCTATGAATCTGAATACAGATATGGGCCTCAAAAATATTAAAACCTACTCTAGTACATTAATATTTTAAATTGTATTATTTTCAAAGTTTTTTAAAAAATCATTTTAGAAAGTTTTCAGTTATTTAAGCTGTGATGCTCTTTTTCAACAATGGTAAGATAAATAAAATTTGGCCAGAGGCAACAATAAAACCTAATATAGAAAATAATCAAACTTTACATACCATATCCCAGTCAACATTTCGAAAGAATGGATGCCCCTGAATATCAGCAAATCCTGTTTGAGGATGACAACCCAAGCGTTCCTTTGGGTCCTGTGATGGAAAAAAACGTTTCAAGGATTAGGTGAATGGCAAGCTTTAAAATAATTTATCTTCCTGGCCTGTGTTTCATGCCTATTACATGGTATCTTTATTTGCAAACCTAACATCGTCTTTTATTCCCAGGAAGTGAGCTATCTGAAGGTTGTGACAGATAGGAGCTCGTGGCTCCTTTTTCATGTGTGTCACTGAAGCAGAGAATTACTACCACTACCGGCTAAAGACAAATGGAAGGAAAAATAGCAGTATCAGCTGAGTAGCATTCTGAGTAGTTTCTCTGGTACAGGGTCATGTTAGTCAAAACGGAAACCTCCGAATTCACCACAGATTTGTTCTTAGCCCAAATCCAAAACAGTAACAGCTTATCTATTATTACAGTATGGTTTTTCATTACAAAAAGGGAAGTGACGAGATGGGTATGAGATGGTACTTTAAACTATGAGACTATTTTAATTGTATTTTTTAAAATTTTATTTAAAATTAATTGTATTTCTTGTTGCTATGTAAAAATACTCGATACCCAAAGTCAAAAGAGGAAAAGTTTATTTGGCTGAGAGTTCACACAGGTTTCAGTCCATAGCTGGCTGGTTCCAAAGCAGGCTGAGGGTAGCAAGCCATAAGTCCAAGTGACCTTAGCAGTTTCCTTCTGCCTCTTGTATAATCTATCCAGGCTAACAGGCTTAAAGTGGGTGCCATTCCAATCAGCAGACTAATCTGGTAGTCACACACCCTTAAACCCAGCATCCAGATCCGGCCACCTCTGAAAAAGTCCCAGAGGCTGGGGGGTGGGGGGGCACATCTAGACAACAGCAAAACCAAGACTACTCTCCAGTTACAGCATTTCCACTTAAAACACACAACATGGAATGAAATGCTTTCTATTCAGACTTTTGTGACTCTTATCAGAAACAATGTTTAAGAACTATGTGTTTAGAGTGTCCCCAAGGAGGAAAAAGATATCCTGGATGACCACTGTCCTGAGAACCTCACTTGTCTCTGATCGTTTGATGAGACTAGGAGGTCTTCTCACTTCCTCCTCACTGTCCCCAGGCCAGTGAATCAGGTCGCCCTCCTCCAGATGCCTTGGAAACTCCGTACAGCCTTGTGTCCTGCAGCTCCCTCACCTCGCTCCTCAGACAGCTTTACATCCCCCCGGCACACACAGACAGCTGAGCCCACAGGCTGAACCCAAAGTGCTGCTTCTTCTATCCTCTAGCACATCCCTAAGAGTGGTCCTGGGATGGAAGAAATACTTGAGTGCAGGTCCCTTTTTCTCTGCAGATGTGTAGCAGTACAAAGAACAACTAGGCCAACCATCGGAGGACCCCAACAGGTTTGTAACATGGGGCTCAAACTTTAACCCTTGCTTTCGATTTACCATGGCAAGACGTTCAATTCATCTTGGCCACTTGCAATGGCCCAGATGAAAGACAAGAATCCTACCCGAGGCCAGGAACTATGCAGATGGGCAATATGCTTTGAAAAGTGAAGGAAAACATATTGGAGAGGCTATTTTCCTTTCAACCAAACAGGGACTTTAACACCCATCACGGACTAGAAATAACGTCTAACATGCTAGCTGCTCTTACCATGGGGATGAAGAGGTGTATTAAAAAGTCTGTTAACCACATAAAGTGAATGGGATCATATAGCACACAGAGGAGAAATCCAGCTGTCTTCCGTAATCAATTAGTAAAAGTCTATTGTAAATATATTAACATAGATCCATCTTTCAGAGAGAAATAAGCACTAGTAGGACATCATTTCATCTGTAAGTCAGCCCTAGATATTCAATACACGTTACAAAAACTTCAGATGGGCCCACAGACACCTATGGCCCAACTGCTGGGCACAACCTTTTCTGTGTTCTATAATTAGGACCCAGAGAAGAGACAAAAGAAAAAGGCCAAGGTTACAGCTGCCGCAACTGGCAATGCTTTAAACTCACCCAAATAATCTAAGGGAAAAACCCAAGTACAGCTGCGGTTCCTGTTTCAAGTGCAAGATGATGGCAGACTGGCACGAGTCTGTACCGAACCTCTGCCTCCACCACTGAGGCAGTGGATGTGCCTGACTCTTGGTCCTGGGGGGCTGGCTGTCCCGCCTCCCGGAGAGGGGCAGGCCAGCCAGAACCTCTATTTCCTGCTCTGACTACTGAAGTGGCCCAGGGGAACCTGAAATGACCCCGTCCATGGACTCATTATCTTCTCCAATCTTGTAACATCATGAATGAGCCAATTTGACTGCTTACTGAAACAGGAGTGGTTCATTCTGGTTTAATTTCCTTCTCTGAAAAACTCTCCTCTAGGTCTATAGCCATACTTAGGGTTGAGGGGAATCCCTACTCAGACAGATTCTTTACTCTTCCTCTCATGTGTCACTTTGAGGGCCAAATGTTTATCCATGTGTTTCTAACTATCCCACAGTATCCTACTCCCTTGCTAGGAAGAGATTTACTAGTAAAATTGGGGGCAATTCTCAAATTCCAGTTAAGGACAAAACAGATTTTACTGGATGACACTACATCAGACCTGCCTGACCAAAGTAGCCAACATGTAGATTCTGCTGTATAGAATAATGGAATACCCGGTAGGGCAAATTCAGCTATACCAGTAGTTGTAAGATTAAATAAAAGACCCCCACTGAAAGTGGTGCCCAGGCTGGTCCGATGGCAGTGGGTTATCAGAACTTATTAACATTAGTGTCACTAAAGTTGGTATACCACCTCCCCGCCTCCCACTGCTAAATTTGACTGGCTTTAAAAAAAAAAAAAAAGAAAGTGGTGTCCAATCAAGGAAGAGACATGTAAAGGTCTGCAGCCTCTCATAGACAAGGTTCTTAAATATGGCCTTCTGAAGCCTTGTCAGTCTCCTTGAAATCCTGTACAGAGGAGAGGGTCATAACCTGGGGAACACTGGCAATTAGACTGTACCTATATACTATATTAATCTGGGTCAAATACAACAGGCAACCCAAATGTATGGAAATAAAGCCCTGCCAGCTCTTGGCCTAAAGGGATCAACCTACTGTCTGTCCTTAAGACCAACTGATCATAAAAACATGGAGAGGGGGGCCACTTGCTGAACAATTAAAGCCAAAATGGAAGGGTCCCTTCTCAGTGATCTATGACACGCTCACTGCAATAAAGGTGACAAAGATAGATAATTGGATTCATCCTTCTAGAATAAAGCCAGTCCTACTTGAACTGTCTGAAGAACAAGATCACTCAAAATGAAAAAGCTACTCCTACAAGCTTCTGGAAGACTTGAGATTTATCTTCAAAAAGCAAGACTCCAGTGCCACCACAGGAAGCATGGAAATCTGACCTGCTCCTCATACTTGGGCTAATAGTGAAGTTTCTTATTCCTATCAAACAGCCAGCTCAATGGTCATTAATTCTTTCCTCACTGTTTCCTGGCAGACATTTCCTTCTTCAATCCTGCCAGTGAGCTACAGCACCCCAAGGAAGTGTAGAGTTCATAATCCCAGTAAATACGAACTACAGCTCCTTTTAGCTTGCAGAAGAGACCTCCACTCCCTCAGTGCCCCATAAAAGTATTTTGTGGATACCTGTGTCTCAGGAGAAAATTAAACAAGAGATTAGGGCATGGCAAAGCTTCACTATATAAGCTCCTTGGCATGGGCCTGGCAAAGCTTCACTAATAAGTTCCTTGATTGGATACCATTTCAAAGTTTGTGAAAGTTTTTGTTCACAAACTCTGCATCAAGTGAAAAATACAACCTCATCATGCAGCCATCTTTCCCATAAACACCTGCAACCATCTTTCCTATAAAAACACAAATGTAGCCATCTTTTCAAAAATCTTAGAAGAAATTAAGTTCATGAACCAAGTTATCACTATATATGGTTTTTGGTATGACAATTTGTAGAGAATACTATTTCCCACAGCTTAATGGCTTAAAAAATATATAGTGATGAGCTGACTCTATGGATAATAATACAGAGACAAGTGGAAAAATAAAGAGTTAATAAGTGCAAAAATTCAATTTTTCCTTCATTGAGAATATGGTATAGCTATCATTCACATTAAAAAAATATGTAACATAACTGGGGGCAAATCATATTGTCTATCTGGGAATTGTCAATCTAGTGTTGTGAATTACTCTTTCATTAAGTGACAACTTCTAGATCTAGCTGAACAAGTTACACTGCCAGTTTGAAATTTTAACTTGCCTGAGCTTCTACTTACCAGTTTAATTTACACAGACAGAGATACATCACACAAGATTTTTATACATAATTTATACCTTGTTAAGAAAATTCTTCAGAACACTTGCAGCTTTTACAGAAAGAGAACGTGGTATGCGAATCTGTTTTTCCAAAATAACTAGAAAGATAAAGATGATGGTATTATGTTTAACTTATAAATTTTTGCTCATATATTTAAGGCATTCCAGCAGATAAACCAAGACATTACAGTAAGTCCTGGACTTAAAAATGAGTTCCATTCCAGAATGTTCATGAATTGGATTCATTTGTAACCCAACAAAGTGAGTCTTATAAAATACACCTGAGAATCTTATACAGTACACCTGTGAAAGTTAGCAACTCAAGCGTTCTTAAGTCAGGAATTTACTGAACATATATAATTAAAACCCTTCACATACTTCCCCATTCCATAGCCTGTCTTTCTTCTGACAGATAAACCTCAAATCTGAATACTGTGCTTCTAATTCACGAGCATGCGGTGGGGTTCAGGGGAAGGAACCCAGAGGTACATCACCACTAATGTACATCCTCAATGCTTTTGAAATTTTTAGACAGGATGCCACTTAGCTGTCTGGGTGGATCTTCTCTTGCCCTTAGCATCTCAAGAATGCTAGAATTATAGGTGTGCACCACCATGCTAGGCTTACATGCATGTTTTATTGTTTGATTACATTACTGTGCCTCAGTGTCCTCAACTATAAAACAGGAATAAAATTAACACCTACTTTGAAGGGTTGTTATGAGGGTTAAAGGAATTAATATTTGCAAGATGTCTAGACATAATATTTAACTTTACTGGACAATGCCAAATTATTCTGCAAAGCTATCATGTCAATTTTCACTCTTATCAGCAGTCAATGAGAGTTCCCTGGTGCTCCAGACCTTCACCCACACTGTCTAGCACACTTAACAGTTTTGCCTAATGTATAAAATGATAGTTCATTAATATTTGTAATGTGCAGTCTCTCCACTGCCAATGAAAATAGTGTTTTTCACATACTCCAAGGTCAGATGGATTCTCTATCACATGAAATGTCTACTTTTATCTTGTGATGGATTTAATTATTAAACACAGGATTTTATGGGAGTCTTCACACTTCTTTTGAATTGTGGTTTAGAGGTACTTATTTGCTCATTTCTGTTCCATTCAATTTTTGCCTTTCTACATTGTGTGCATCCCCATCCCTCTTGTCTTAACATTTATTTTTCCCCAAAACTGTTCTTAAACTTATATGTTCAGTCTTAAAGATCTTGTCTCTAGACCTGGCATTTCCCCTTCCAATATCTCTTTATGATACATACTCTAAAGGAATTTCTTTTTATACCTGAGTATAGGAAGGTAATAGTTAATGTGGGAGGAGAGGATGTACTGGAAAAAGAATCAGGCTGAGAATGTAGCTCAGTGGTACAGCACCTGCATAGTATATGCAAGGCTTTTGGTTCAATTCCCAGTATCACATATCAAAATCATACACAGTAAGTTAGAGTCATACTGTTGGGATTATTTTCCTTATTCAAAGTAATATTTTGACTCACCCTCATTTATGCTGTAGAACAAATTAAGAGAATCTCTGTAAAAATACTATAAATCACCTTGAAAGAGATAATCCTCTGTGTTTTGATCAGGGTTATCAGAGCTCCCAACAATATCAAATGGAGACCTTCCTGCCATCATCTCAAACATTAGTACTCCAAGGGCCCACCAGTCAACACTAAAACCTTTAGAAAGAAAGTTTAAAGTAGTAAATTATCCATTCAGCATGCTTGGAAGTCAATAATTAGAGAATCATTTTACCACATAATGAAAAATTAATCACGAGAAAGTAAATTCTCCATGTATTATAACTATCATAGAAGGTGCTGAAAATTACCAACAAGAGTAGGAACCTAAAAGAATATCAGCATATAAAATTATGGGAGATGAAACTTAAAACTTTCTTTTCCCAAATATACTGAAGATTTCAAAATCATGCCCGGCATCTTAGTATTTAAAGGACATAGTTACATTGTATTTGAGAATAAGCACTTTTGGTCTGAAACTCATCTTTTGCTAGCTGATTATAGACTCCTAAATTAAGGACACTGAATTTACACTGTGTAGTGCTGTCAGAAGTACCACATCCTCCATTACCTCTGCAATCAAAGGGCTAAAACCCAAAGGCTCAAATGCTCTCTTAAGATATTTTCTCAGTTCTTGATGAGAAGCCAACATTTCCACTATCTTTCAGATTACTGGAAGAAATAGCCTAGGAAATCTGAACAATCTTTCAGAGGTGCAAGTCTTGTGATTGGTGGTCCAAATCCCTACCCTGCCACTTTATAGCAATTATGAGCTTGGGTATAGTATTTAAACTCTCTGCATGTCAGTTTCCTCTCTTTGTAAGATGAGAATCTGGGGGGTTGTTGAGAAGACTAACTTAGTTAATATAATATAAACTACTTAGAAGAGTGCCTATCATTCTTCAGTGTCACAAATAAACTATTATTCGAATTTGTACTCTAAAGACAAGGTCTTTGATTTCTGACCTAGGCGTCTTTATATGGGATCTTTAACATGAACAAGAAAATGTGTATTGATAAGATCAGTATTTACTGTAGTAAAATGCAACTGATACCACATTTAACTATCCAGCTAACAACAGTTAAAACATCACCTATGTATTTATTACCATAATCTTCTCCTCTTAAAATTTCAGGAGCAATGTAATTAGGAGTACCACAGAAAGTGCTGGTCGTATCTCCTGGCCGTAATCCTTCCTTTTATTAAAAAAAAAAAAAAAAAAAAGAAAGAAAGATCTCAAATTCTGTTTTTATATTTACCTTTTCTATTTCATCTACCACATAAATTCTCCAAAAGTAGGTAATACATTAAGCTTAAAGACATCACGAGGACCACTGCACTTCTTTTACCTACCTAAGTGGCCATCTACGATTTCATAAAATATTTTAAAATTTTATTTATTAAGTTTTTATTTTATTTTAATAAAAAATTATTTATTAAAATCATAGACGGCCACTAAGTAGGTAGGTAAAAGAAAACTTGCTTTCAATAAATGTTGCCAAAAAGTTCAATTAGGATACAAACTGCATTTAAAATTTCATATTCAAGGTAAAATTTAACACAAAAATTTAAATTATGAGTGAAATGAGTCATATTTCATGAAGAAAAGCATTTTATTTTATTTTATTTTTTTTATCGGCACCAGGGATCAAAACTCACAACTGCCTGCTTGCAAGGCAGGCGCTTATGCCGCTGAGCTAAATCCCCAGCCCCAAGAAAAGCATTTTAAATCCTACCTCGTAACATAATGCTGACATTAAAATGTTTTCCTTCTGTTTATTTTTTGTAAGGTACAAGTTCTTTTAGTTTTGTATTTTAAACAATGATCCCCAAGAAATTATAACAAACACAAACTTGTATATATTTAGTGACAGCCTCAAACAAAACTCAGTAAAACTGGAGAAATTTCATAATCTCCAATCATGAAGTTTTAATATTTCTATATCAGAATGTTACAGTTCACCCAACCAAAAACAGAAAATATGCACAAAAAGTACAGCTAAATACACATAGTATACATACATATAGAATATGTATCCTATAAGTATGTATGGAGAAAAGGAAGAGAATGGAAATGAAAGAAAAATTCCTTACATATAATATAGAGATTTTATTTGATTGATTGATTGGTCTTTTTGAGACAGGGTCTCACTATGCAATTCAGATTGACCTTGAGCTCACTTTGTAACCCAGGCTGGTCTCAAATTCACAATGATCCTCCTGCCTCAACCTCCAACGTGCTGGGATTACAGGCTTGTGCCATCACGCCAGGCTAAACATTCTTTTAAGTCTACACAGAATACTGGCCATATACTAACTCGACTGAGAATACTTGCAAAGAATATGTGTGTCTAATGAGTCAATACTATTTTTCAATAGAAGTACAATAGACAAAGCAAAGAAGATGGTAAGAACAAAGAAAGAAAGCCATCCTGCCTTAATTCATTTTTGTAATAATTATGTTTTTATTAAGCAATACAATGCTATTCTAGTAACTTTAAAAATATGGAAGGCTGAGCATGGTTGGTGCATGCCTGTAATACCAGTACTGAAGAGACTGAGGCAGCAGGATCACTGTTAAGTTTGTCAGCCTAGACTACATAGAGTTCATGGCCAGCCTGAACTAAGACCTTGTCTCAAAAAACAAAAAAGGAAAAGTAAACACAATCAATGTGTAATGTCACATGGTAGAAAAGACAATTCTATACTTTAAAACTTTACTGGACATTAATTATAAACATTTTATGTTGCTAAGGATTTTGGTAGACATCCTCTTAGATGATTTTGTAATACTTATTATAAACTATAAATTTTGATCATATAAGTCTCTTTATAGGTTAAATGTTTACTAGAATAAGCAAAAGTTAGAAATTACTGGATAAAAGACTATGACTCGTTTTCCTCTTTCTTTCCCTTCTCTTCCCATCCCTTCCCTTCTTTTTTCCCCCTCCCCCTGCCCTGCCCTTTCACATCCTCTCCTTCCCTTGCTTTTTCTGAACAGGGTTTGAACCCAGACCCTGTGCATGCTATCAAGTATTCTATCACTAAATATGGCCATCTTTAAGATTTCTGCTACAACTCCCATCAAAGAGGTCCTGGGGATTGAATCACAGGCCTTGTACATGCTGAGCATACAAACTACCACTGAGTTATGGCCAATCACAAAGGTTGTAGTATTAAATTATTTTATGTTATTGAGGGTAGCTTGTCATACACTATCATGACAAATTTTAAAACCAATATCTGATAGGCAAAAGAAGTTCTCATATGTAGATTTGTAATAAAATTAACATTCTTCATATTTTTTATTGTTCTATTTTTTTCTTGAGAATGATAGGCTTCCACTATCATTGCTATTTTATATTTTAAATGAGAGACAGTAAAAATCTGAGGGAAAAAGAAAACAAAAAGTGAAATAAATATAAGTAAAGGGAACTTGGTGTTTCTACTCATTAAACTTCTTAATTATTTATGATTAAAAATTTACATAATAAAATAACTTAAGGAGTATCATAAGAAAAATGGCTTTAAGTTTTACACATAAAATAAAATCAGGTTAAGTGGAAAGCTTATTTCTATTTATGTTGAGCAGAAAATAAAATTAAATCTTCCATATTAAACTGTCTTATACCATGCTAACATTTATTTTTAAATCTCTAGCCTCTGATGATACTTTCTTCAGTTGTGTGAGGCATGCAATTCACTCATTTACACACAGTGAGGAATATAATTGTGTACCAATTATTCTAGTACATATAAAAGCATTTTGTCAAAAAAGATCAGACCTTCAAGGAAATAATGTTTAAAAAAAATAATGAAAATATGGTGTGAGAATAACTGAAATTCTTACTTTGTGTACTTTGTGTCAGATATTTAAATTTTAAATATAAAGTCAGACTTTCAGGAAAAACATTGTATGCACTATTTAAAACTCATTACTAAATGGGAAAAATTAGAAGTTGAAACCCAAATGTTATCCTATGGTAGTACAATTATAATCTTTATTTCTAGTCTTCTTTACAACTTCCAAGACAAAAAGTCATTAATAATTAAAAAAGTAACTCTTCTCATAGCATATATAATCAGAAGATAGGAACAGAAGTGCATTTGTCTTTCTAGAATTACAATAAGTGTCCTAAAAAGGTAGCAATCATTTCTTCATTTTTATACATGGAACTAATATTTTACCAAGACAATCTTATGAGATGTAAAGACCTTTTTAACAATTAGAGAGAATGGAAACTAGTACAACCACTAAGTCAATATGGAGATTGTGCAAAAAACTAAAAATAGAAATTCCACCTGATCCAGCTATCCCTCTTTATGTATCTTCCCAAGAGTTAAAATCACCATTATTATAGATATACATACAGACGCATATTTGTAGCAAAGCAATCCATACTAGCTAGCTCATGGAAACAGTGTGTATGTAAAACAGATAAGGCAAATGTGGTACTTATACACAACAGCATATTACACTCCTAGAAAGAAAAACTTAAAGTGTTTGCAGGTAAATGGATGGAAGAGAGAACATAATCTTAAGTATCAATGGTTTCTCTTATATGAGAAACACAAAGAATAGCAAATAAAGAAGAAATAGGGAGAAGTTCAAATTACAAATATCATTACTTTAAAAATATTTAAAAATATATACACTAATTTGCTAATTAGTATCATGTGCACTATTAGTTTATCTTAGTTTGTTGAAAAGATTTGTGGGGGTTTGTTTGTTTGCTTATTTGTTTCTCTGAGACAGGTCTATGTAGTTCAGGCAGGGCTTAAGCTCACTATGTAGCTTAGGCTGGACTTGAACTCATAGCTACCCTCAGGTCTCAGACTCTGGAGTGCTAAGATAATAGGCATTTGTTACCACATCTGGCTAGATTTGTGGTATTATCAGTTTCTTTTTCCCAAGAATACTTTTGGCTTACATTTTATATTCTGAGTAATTATTTTGAAGGTAACAATACACAGTACAATAACTATTGTAATTCTCTTATTTGATTATGTAAGTTTTTTTCATTAAAAATAGTAACAATTTAAAAAATTTCCTTACCTTACACATGCCATAGTCAGTGAGTTTAATATGTCCTTCTGAATCCAGTAATACATTGTCTAATTTCAAATCTCTATAAATTATCCCTCGCTCATGAAGATAATTCAATGCTAAACTGATTTCTGCAGAGTAAAACCTAAAATAAAATTTCAAAAAATGTGTGATTCAAAATTATAAATTATGGGGCTGGGGATTTAGCTCAGCGGCATAAGCGCCTGCCTTGCAAGCAGGCAGTCGTGAGTTTGATCCCTGGTACCAATAAAAACGAAAAAGACAACCAAAAAAAAAAAAAGAAAAACCAAAATTATAAATTGTGGTAGATTTCTAGGAGAAGATATTTTAGACTTATTTTTACCTGTATTTGGAAACATAAAAATCACCACAGGAGATTTTTTTTAAAATTTTCCAATCTATTTATAACGGGAGAGTTCATGTTGAAGGCCTGTTTCCTAGGCAGTAAGCAGAGGACTTGTTCCTCGTCTACTTACCTAAAGGAAAGTCACCGGACCCTAGGCAGAAAGTGCCATGGGCTCACGCAGACTTTCCCTGCACCTCACAACTAACCCTGAAAGAAGAAAACCCAATATATTTAAAACTAATACAAAAATTAATTGGAGCACCACTTTAAAATAGCCGAGCCCAAATCACAGCCATAAAAGTTCCAGTCTAACTTAAACTTTTATTTTTCACAAGCTATTATTCCAAAAACGTCAAACAGGAGTTTTTAGTCTGGGTCATGATGGACTGGGCAGTCCACACACCTACACAGGAGGCAAAGTTGGACACGTAAGTTTTCTAGACAGTTCCCATGGTTTTCATTACTTTTCTAAAAACCAATAACGTCCCTCCACCCTCACCCCTGCCAAGAACTAGTGACAGGTCAAGAATATTAAAAGTTGACTATGCAAACCATAAAATCCACAACAACATTTCAGAACTTACTCTACAATCATAAAATTTAAAACAAAAGAATAAACTTTCTAAAACTACCACCAACAGACAAGTGAAAAACTTTTGGCCTGAATAATAAAAATAAAAAAACACTCAAGCTGGTTTATGTCTACTTTGGAGACACAGGATCATGCTAAGTTTTGAGGTACATAATATACATCTCTGGTTACTTAGTTCTATGATTCCTTTGTGCTTCAGAACCTAGAAACATAAACATGGTATACATATCCAGAAATGGTATTTTAATAGAGTAGAAATCAGATGTAGTTTCCCCAAATTTCAGCTGAATAAATAATGAACGAGAACTGGCTGTATTCACAATTCAAAATATCATCTGTGGCTTTGCTATGAAGGTTGATGATTTGATAAAAGCCAAAATAACAATGAACAAAATCAGTAAATTGTAATAGCTCTTTAAAATTACAATTTGCCATGTAAATTTTTAGCTCAGTTTCTAGTATCTCCCAAAGAATTAACTAGCATCAAAATAAAATATTTATATACTGTTTTTCAACTGCTGCACACAAAGTCTTGCAGACCTGAAAAATTCCCATAGAAACAATGTTTAAAAAATGTACCTGGCATGTTCTTCAGGAAGTTTTCTTTGTCGCTGCATATGAAACATTAGGTCTCCTCCATTTACATACTCAATAACAAAGAACAACCTAAACACAAAAAGAACCCATGAAACCAAAATTCTAAATAAGGCAATATAACTTTTCATCTTAAAACACTGTAAAACATACAGGGCATTCTCTATGGATTAGCCTTGATAAGATGTGAAGAATTTGATAGAAACAAAGGATATCCAAAGTACTAAAAGAAAAACAACCTAACAATTCTGTATCCTCCTATTTTTACTCTGAAGTAGTATTTACTTACAACCCAGAACCACTTACTCCCACCTAATTTTTAACATTTGCTAGGTAAGTAATTTTCAACTACTGTAATATTTAAGGTACAGAAGTTGGGATTTTTTTTTCCTAGTTAAATTCTGGAAAACATTAATTCATTAAACTAGAATCCTGAGAATATTTAACAAGTGGTATTTCTACTGCCATAATATTCTCATTCATTCTCACTCTCTTTCTCTTTCTCTTTCACTCTCACTCCCTGATCAATTCCTGATATTAGCCCAATGTCAGACTGTAGATGAGTAGCAGAAAGTTCAAGCACAATATCACTGTGTCCTTTTTGGTGACTTCTACGTCACACACTACAGCACACAGCTCCTTACTGTGTAATACATCAAAATCTATGAAGCTGATTAATCATCTTTCAATCTTACCTGCTTTCTGTCTGAAAGCAAGAATGCAGTCCAACAAGAAAAGGATGATTAGATGCCTGCTCAAAAACATGCTTCTCGGTCTGTACCCAATCAATATCCTATTTTAAAATATGAAACAAATCATATAAACAAAAAGAAACAAAATCATCAAAACTAACAACAAATTTGTTTTAAGCAGTCAATGATCACAAATGCATTCATTAACTAGGCTAAATACAAACATCACTGTTAATATGAAATAAAAATTTATGTACTGAAAGAAAAATACCAGTAACTCTTCTAGTACTATGAAATGATTCAGGAACTTTATAAAACTCATACATGAGAGTTCAATTTCTGATAAGAAGTTCTCCTGATAAGTTCAATTTTTATTCTTTAGAAACTTGAATCATAACCAGACTAAGTATCTCTTACATAATCTATTTGAAGCATATATAAACATAGAATAAAATAAGTAAAAACACTGCGGTTTTCTCTGAAATAGTTCTTTTAAGGAGTTTAACAGGTTAGAAGTACAAACATTTTAGTCTGCTTACCTCATCATCATTAACGAGCTCTTTTTTCACAACTTTCATTGCATAAATACGATCCGTTTTTTTTAATCGCACCAACAGTACTTTTGCGTAACTTCCTCTCCCTATTACTCGGAGCAAATCAAAGTCCTGAAGACCTAAACTAGATGAGGCTTTGCCACTTTCCCTGGTGTTCATTGCCTGTTGAGAACATTTATAGCAAAGAGTCATATCTAGAAGTATTTGGAATACTACATTATACTTCTAAAACCTTGTTTCTCATATAATGATTTTTATTTGAATTAATTAATTATTTTTTGTTACTGGGGATCAAACTCACAACCTCACACTTGCCAAGCAGGTGTTTATACCACTGAGCTAAATCTCTGGCCCTGATTTTTAAATATTTTCTTCATACAAAAATATTATAGCCAAAGATGATGAACACGCCTGTTAATCATAGCATTCAGGAGGCTGAGGCAAAGGATTGAGAGTTTGAAGTCAGCTGACACTACACAGAGTTCAAGACCAGCCTGAACTATGCTACAAGTCTATAATTCTTTTTTTTTTTTTTTTGGTACTAGGGATCAAACTCATGACCTAGTGCTTGCCAGGCAGGCGCTTACTCCACTAAGCTAAATCACCAGCCCTGCAATTCTTTTCTTATATCACTGAAAACCACATAATGTATAAGAAATAGGATGAGTTTATAAATTAAAAAGAGGTGTTCATAGGAATACCCAGGGAGTTAAAAGTTTGAAAAAATGTTAAAGAATGTCTTAAGAAGAAATCTGGTAACTGGGTATGGGGGCAATGGACATGCATGAATAAAATGTAACATTAACTTTTGTGACTGGGAAACTGAAGATATTGCTGAGGAGAAAAATAAAGTATGTGGATAAGACAAAGTTGTTGGGGATAATGGGAAATTAGCAGTTAAAATAGGTATCAAGAAAAGAGTCTGCTACCATAGAAGACTGATATAAGAGATTTCAACCAAGAGGGAAGTTTCTGATGCTGGAGGCAGGAACAAGCATGAGGCAGTTTAGCTAATGGAAGACATTCTTTTCCACACTTTGCTACTAGATGACATGGGTGGCAAAGTCTTACAAATTCACTGACAACTAGGAATGTAAGCTTCTGCTGGTTTGTAGAGAAGACTAAAGATAACCTTTTATTAGATATTTGCAAAATCATCACCACATGATCAATAAATGTACCCATGAGAATACAGTTCCTACTAAAGTTAGACTATCAGAAAAAACAAAGAGCAATCAGGCACGGTGATGTGCTCCTGTAGTACCAGTTACTTGGGACGCTAAAGCAGGAGAATCATTTGAATCCAGGAGTTTAATCCAAGCCTAGGTAACACAGCAAGAGGATACCTCAGCAATGAGAAGAAAAGAAAGAAAACAGAGGAGGAGAGGGGAAGGGAGGGGAATGGAAGTGAAGGGAGGGAAAGGAGAGGAGAAACGAGAGGAGAAGCAAGGGAGAAGGGGAAGGAAGGGACAGAAAAGAGGAACAGAAAAAAAGGATTTTTCAAAAGAAAGACTATACATGAAAATTAAGAAATAATGATCATTCGATTTGGTAATAAGAATAAACAAAGAAACAAACCAGATTATGGTGGGTTAATAAACAGAATGGTAAGAAAATAACGTACACACTTCAAATATGGTTAAGTAGAAACTATGAAAATGAATACACGAAGAAAAAGGAAATACTGTACCTTCTAGATACAATAATGAAAGACTAAATAAAAACCGAAGCTCTTTAATTGTGGAATGTCACCTTCAAAGAGTCCAAAGAAAATAAATTGACCTAGAATTCTGTACCGTACAAAATTAATTCTCAAAATGAAAAGAAAACATTTTCACACATACAAAAACTGAGAAAATCATCACTAGTTCTCATTAAAGGAAATACTACATTGAATACTTCAAGAAAATAATGGAAGGAAAGAGATGTGAGAAAGAAAGAAGAGTAAAAAGGGTAAAGCGTGAGTAAATATAAATTAGGATCAACTGTTTAAAAGTGCTAACACACATGCAGATCATCTTAAAATACAACAATGTAACACTGAAAGCAGGAACATGTTTAATGTGTGCCAAGGATACCACATTTTCTAGAAAATGACATAAGTACTTTTAACAATTTACACTAAATTGTAATAAACTTAAGAATGCAAAGTGGTGCCTATAATCCCAGCACTTGGGAGGCTGAGGCATAAGGACCACTGCAAGTTCAAGACCAGCCTGGGCTACAAAGTAAGCTCAAGGTCAGCCTGAACTGCATAGCGAAACTCTGTCTCAAAAAAACAAAACAAAACCAAAGAACAAAAACAAAAATACAAAGTGGAATCTGTAGACAAACCAATAAAAGAATAGCAAAGAAGTTAAAAAAAAAAACAATTTTAAGAATTATAGTAGGCTACCACTACACATTCAACAGATTGACAACAATTAAAGAGACATGTGGAGGACACAGAGCTCTCATGGATTGTTGGTGAAAGTATAAATTGACACATACAGAAAACTTGCCATTATCTACTAAAATTGGGTTTACATAAAACCCACATTAATTTCTAGTTACTTTCTTTCTTACTTTCTTTATTGCTGATACAAAATATCAAAATATCTGACATCCACAATTCAAGGAAAGAGAGATTTATTTTGGCTCACAGTTTGCAGAGGTTTCAGTCTAGTTCTAAGGCAGGAGACATCGCAGAAGGGCATGGCTGAAAATAAACAGCTCATGAAATAACAGGCAGAAAGCACAGTGTGATCAAGGAAGGGATATCTATGTATCTCTCCAGGCCACACCTCAGTGACTTACCTCCTCCAATCAGGCTTCATCTCCTAATATCACATTCAGCTCCAAAAAGTCATCAGAGGACTAATCTGCTGGTATCACAACCTCAGGATTGAACCACCTTCCAAAGCCCCACCCATGAGCACAGGAGGCTGTGGTGGAGGGGTATGCATCTAAATACAATCACAACATTCCAATCCTTAAGGCTAGGCATGGCAACACATGCCTGTAATCTCAGCACTAGGGAGGCTAAGGAAGAAGGATAACAAGTTTAAGGCCAGCCTGGGCTACAAGTGAGTTCAAGGCCAGTCAGAACTAGGGAGATCCTGTCTCAAAACAAAAACAAAGAAAACAAATTCCACCCCTGACCCCCAGAAAGCCTCAAGCACTTCACTATACAAAATGCACTTATTGCATCTCTAAGAGTTGCCAAAATCCTAACGGTTTCAGCACTGCTGAAAACTTCAAGTCAAAGTCTCCTGAGATTTAAGGCAAACTCTTAGGTACAAGCCCTGTAAAAATCAAAAGAAAGTTAAACAATTCAACATATAATGGGCCAGGATAAACATTCCCATACATAGGTACAAACAGGGAGACAGAAAGGAATGGAATCAGGAGGCACGGTGGCCCTCACCTATAATCTCAGCATGCAGGAGGGAAGAGGATCACTAAAAGTATGAGGCCAGCATGGGCTACATAATGAATTCAAAGCCACCTGAACTACATAACAAGACTTGTCTTTAAAAAGTAAAAGAAAAAAAAAAGAAGAAAAATGAAAGAAAAAAGAGAAAGAAATCGGATCAAAGCAAGACCAAAATCTAGCAGAACAAAGATTAAACCTTGTAATTCCAGGGCCAGCACCTGGGGCGATCTGTGGCAGGAGAACAGCTCCACAGGGCTTCCGAAGCCGGCCCTCCAGCATTGCTGGTGGGGGTTGCAGCCCTCATGGCTTCTTTCTTAGGCTGGGTTGTTATCTGATTGTAGCTTTTTTCAGATGGTCCATGTTCCTGGCTTTGCCAACGTTTTGGGGTCTCCACTGCACGTTTCTGTTACTCTCTCTGAGCTTCACGCACTGCCTGGCCTCTCAGGCCTTCTTCTGCTAGCTGGGTAGAAGCCTTCCTGACCTCACAACTCTTTTATTGTGTATGTGCATAAAACAGGCACTAGGAAAGTCAAGGTCTGCTCTCAGCTGGAGTAGCAGCCAGGCTTCCTTCTCTCTTGGCTGTCCAGGTCTCTGCATATGCCTGGATGGCTGTGTACTATGACCCAATTCCCATGGAACAAATTCCCTAGGTGGCCTTGGTGGCCTGAGGCTCTCTTCTCAAAACAAAGTCACCTTTACAATTTAGGGCCTGCAAAGGGGAGAGCCTTCCTGTTTCTTCTTATTACCTCAAGGCATTTTTCCTATTGCCCCATTCCTAAGCAGTACTTAGTTTCTTTTTAATGCTTTTCTCTTTATCAATCAAACTCTCTGCTCCATCTTTGTAGGCCCTAACTTTCCTGGTGCTTCCTTTCTGGCCAAAATCAAAAATTGGTAAATCATTCTGCTGGGCTGTAATGGTCTTGATTTGCAGGCTAACAATCCCCAGTAGTATAGATCTTGCTGGCTGGGGAGAAACAGCAGGGAAGCCTCGCAGCCTCCCTGTATGTTGGCATGAGCCTTGCTGGCTGGGGGAAACAGCAAGGAAGCTGAGTGGTCGCCCTGTGTGTGGATGGAAGCCCTTTTGGCCGGGAAGAAAGTGAGGAAACTGCCTCCACCTCCTGCCCCCACTCCATCCATAGCAACCAGACAAGACACAAGCTGAGATGACAATAAATGAAGTAACTTAAGTAGAGAAGCAACCTGACATTAATGTTGTCTGACTGACTTTGCAGGCCTCGGGCCTATGGTCTAGGTAACTATTTAGAAGATAACAATATGCAATATAGCAATGATTGCGGGTTTCCTACTGTCCTATTACTCTATTGTTTTGTTTCATTTTACTGTTGTTTTACTCCCTTAAAAAAGTTTTTAAAAAAAGTCCCCAGCAGAACCCAAGACACAGTCTGAATGTCTGGCTACCTTGAAATTTCCTCTGCCAAATTAATTAGTTCATTACCCTTAATCTCAGTCTCCCACAAAGTCTCACAACATGAGGGAAATGCAAACAAATTTTCTGGCCGAGTATAAGATACATGGCTGAGAGTCCAACTGTTTGTGGAGTTCTTCCCAACTGAAACTTTTTGAGCCTGGTCCTTACCAGTGGCACACTACCAACATTCTGGTCTTCTAAGTCTAACTAAAATCTTGCAACAAGTTTCACTTACAGCATTCTAGGGGTGATTCTCCCACTGGCATCTCCAAATGTTTCCAAACTCAAACTCTTCCTGCAAGCCAGTTTCAAACACTTTAAAAAATGGTCAGTATCACAGCAACAACTCCACTTCTCTGGTATCAAAATCTGTATAGTTACTAGCTTAGTTGCTGGGACAAAATATCTGACATTCACAAATTACAGAGAGAGGGGTTTATTTTGGCTCACAGTCCGAGAGTTATCAGTCTATAACTGGCTAGCTCCAAGGCAAGGTGGTCATGGTAAAGGGGTAGAGCAGAGGAGAAATAGCTTACGGCATGGCAGGCATGAGCAGAGAAAATCAAGGGAAGAAACTGGGCACATACCCTTTCAGGTCACACTCACAGCAATCCACATCCTCCAACATGACTTCACCAAATAGCTATAAGTCATCAATGGACGAATCCACTAACAAGTATCACACATCCATGATTCAATTACCTTCCAAAAGCCCCATCCAATGAGGGGATGAGGTTTTGAGGGGAAATCTAGATATATACCAAAACACATACCTAACAGAAATGCTCATGTATGTGTACCAAACTACATTTATAAGACTGTTCATAGCAGCATATCAAAATATTCTCAATCTGGGAGGGAGCATGAAGAGTATAACAAACTGAATGAACAGTGAAAATTAATGAAATACTGCTGCTTGAAACATGACTGAGTTTCATAAACACAATCTATACAAAAGAAGCCAAATACAAAATAATATACATGAAATGAGGTTTGAACAACAACAACAACAACAACAAAAGCAAAACTGATTTGTGGGTTATGACAGTGGCTCCTTTTAGAAAAGAAAGGAGTGCTAGACACTGGGAGAAGGCACAGGATGAGTGTCTGGAAAATGGCACATTTCTGTATCCAAGTCACTATTACACAGTACTCACTGTGAGAATTCATTTAGCTAAATACTCACTGACCTTCACACACTTCTACATGTATTTCTACAATTTAAAAAAATACTAAAAATCTTAAAGGTAAATGCAGATAAGTCTCTGGTAAACAACCAAACCAAAATAATAAAATCAATGACAATTTCCAAAGGAATAAAAAAATTACAAAATGCATAGTGACAGAAAAATATGATTCATTCCTTTATTTATTTGGAATTTCCTCCGACTGACTCACTTAAGCACAATACAGAAGATTTGGTTAGTTGCAAGACAGATAATAAATGTTAACCTTGACAATGTAAAAATAAACATATGACTGAGAGACAGTAGATTAACTACAGCAACTCAACCTATGCACTAAACAGAAGAAACTAAAATATGACATTAATTAGGTGATCACTAGATTTGCTTATAAATAATTCAGGAGTATATAAAGTACAGACAACAGACTGACCATGTATTGATAATTATTTTAACTGAATAATGTTAAATTATGTTAATTTAACATTTATTTATGTTAACGTTATTAAGTGAATTATGTTAAATGTCACTTGTTAAATTAGTCTGACTACTTTTTGTATGTTTAAAATTTTCCATAATAAAGAATCAGATTTTACAAACAGTAATCAAGAGAAGAGCAAATATGAGGTGTGACAAAATACGGTGAATGCTTAAGTCCTTTTGGAAAATTTACTACACTAAAAGGCACTGCTATTAACCTCCCTCAAAACACTATTCCTTGTTTTAAATACACTTAGTGCATTATGCCTGCCTCTCTCTAACGCAGTTCTGCAAGTCCTCTTTCATGACTGTCTTTAGTTGCACATGTTACAGTTTGTGTCTGGGTGTCCCCCCAAAGCCTCTTATGGTCATAAGGCTTTTCCAGAGGTGGCTGAATCTAGTGTGTGATTAGTAAATCAGTCCACTGATAGGTTTGGCATAGCTCTGGCTAGGATTAACGGTGTGAGTGCTGTACCTGCCTTAGGGCGATAGCCTGTATACAAGACATGGGACGGAAAGTGTCTTCTTTCCCTCTCTTGTTGCCTTTGCTGTATTCTGCCACCATTCACTGTTGCTTCTTTGTCATGTGCCACCCTGACTTGGGGGTCAGTCAATTATGGACTGAAACCTTTACAAACTGTGAGCAAAATAAACCTTTCGTATTTTTAACTTTGGGTGTTGGGTATTTTGTCTCAGCAATGAGAAAAGTAACTAAGACCCATTGTCACGGCTGGCTCAGTGTCCTGGTCATTTTGACTTTGAGGAAGAGCCAACCCTTGCACAATGCCAGGTGAATAAGAACATACTGTAACTTTTTTTTTTTTTTTTTGGCTTTGGCTTTTTGAGACAGAGTCTCACTTCGCAGTTCAGGCTGGCCTTGAACTCACTTTGTAGGCCAAGCTCGTCTCAAACTTGCAATGATCCTCCTGCCTCAAGCTCCAAGGGCTGGGATTACAGTATACCACCATTCACTGTGTTTATCATACCTTATACAGACATTCACAAAAGAGGACTTTTGAAACTGTTTCAGGAAGTAGCAAGAATGAGTGTGTTCAAAATGAGTGGGAATATTTTGAGAAAGATTAATGGCAATGTTTCTTTTACTATAATAAACTTAAAAAGACATGAAGGTATTACTGATACAACCAGAAATGGCTAAAAAAGGTTATCTCTAAGAAAGCAAACTAAAAGCAGAATTTTCTCTATTTTTCTCTTTCCTTTGTAACTTCTGAGACACTATCTCACAAAATTGCCTAGGCAGACCTCTACCTCTTGATCCTGACTCAACCTCCCAAGAAGCTAAGATTACAGGTATGCATCATCATGCCCAAGTAAATATTTTTTAATTATAAATTTATTTTGCTTTAAAGACAGATAAAATGCTTAGTAGGAAAAGAATGACAGCTGAAGACATTTTATCATTTATACTTTAAATAAGCAATTAGCTCACAATACAGAAGGGTCTATAATATCTTTTAAGTAACATTACCAAGTATTCAAAATGTTATTAATATACTATAATTTTTATAGTATTCCATCTTAAATAAACTTTCCTACAGAATCATTTCCTAATTTAAATCAGATTAGTAATTTATTTATTAAATAAAATCAGAATAAAACTTTTATCACTAAAAATCATTCCTATAATACCACTATAATCTAAAAATCTAAGCAAGGCATATTTCCCAACTCTTGTATCTTGCTAAAAAGCTGATGACAGAGTATGAGTACGTAACTCAGCAAAGGGCTAGCATGTGCAAGAGGCCTGGGCTCATCCCCAGCATTCTGAAAAAAACCAATCAAATGAAAAACAAAACAATCGCAACAAAAAAACCCACCTAACCACACATTATAAAGTAAAACACATACCTCCTTTTCTTCACCAACTTGGTCCAAACTCTCATGACTTGAAGGATTATAAGGAATTACTAAAAGTCCAATGCCAAACAATCAAAGAAGAAAGATATAGCATTCATTAATGAATATGACATAAAACTTTTGAATTTTTAGCTTTTACTTCTGAATAAGTTTTCAATGTTTAAAAATAAAATATATCTTTTCCATAAAGTCAATTTTATATACTCAAGACACAGACATAGAGGGCCCTTGATTTTCATGTCTTACTCTTCTATACGCATATGTTTCTGAATACCAAGGAGGTCAAGTAAAGAACTGATAAGCAGAAGGAGGTCTCCCATTCCTCAAAGTGAATTAGGGCAAAAAGGGGCTACATTTCACAGCCTCGGGCTTTTGAAACTTCTCCTGTGACCAGGAGTCTAAAACGCCTGTTTTTACTTCATTGACTGAGCTCAAGATACAGCGAGCTATTCTGTCCCTTTTCAATGCTCTCCACATTTCCCTGATACATGCTTAAGATTTCATTCTGATTTAACATTTTAATACATATCACAATTTTTAAAAATTTCTTATGCTGTATCTGTTTTTTACATAATTTCTACTTGATAATAAAGCTCTGAATAAAAACAAGTCATTTGAATATAATCAACGTGGCCCCAAAAAAATCAGTTTTGTATTTTTTCACTGCAAAAATGAAACTAGCCCTGCCTGGCAAGCGCAAGGTCATGAGTTCGATCCCCGGCACCAAAAATAAAAATAAAAAAAGAAACTAGCCTTGCTGCATTTCAAGGGTCTCAAACTTATTTGAAAAGTTTTTTTATAATTTACATAGCCATCTTTTAAAAATTCCAAATGTGTTGATTAAATATTATGACTAATTTTACTACCATGAAATATGTTGACCTATTTTTAATACGGAGAATGTTAATGTTTTTAAATTTAGGTAAAAGAAATCCTTAAACGCAATTGTGTAAAGTACAATGGTTTATGCCAGTTTCATTCTCACCTGTCTGTGCATGGTCTGAATGCATGGATGACTGATCCATTTGCATCATGGGTTCCTATAAACATTTCCAAAGACACAACAACTTAACAGATTCTACTTAAATTACAATACCACTATAAACCCCAAAACACTATATCAATGACATGAAACATTTCTAAAGACTCCAGAATATGAGTCCTTTGCTGAAGCAGAGAGATGTAGAATATTTATAAATCCCTTGAAGCTGTGTATAATTTTTGAGGTTTCCCATTTTTCTGAATATTTTCAAAGATGTTGGTGGCCCCAAAAAGGGAAAGAAATTCTTCTGAGAAATTGATGCAACCAACTATCCACAAATAATCTCAGCAACAATGCTAATTCAAAACAAAATTGTTGGAGCTAGGGATAGGCTCAGTGCTAGAGTACTTGCCTACCACACACAAGACCTGCATTTGATCCCCAGCATTGCAAACAAAATGAAATGAAACCAAACCAATCCAAACCCTATTACTGTCAGTAATTCATTAAGTTTAAATTCAAGTTTAATGAATATTAGCAAGATGAAATAAACTTAAGAGCATTAGATATAGTTACCATTAAGTCTCATTTAATGATAGGCTCATAAATAAGCTTGTGGATTTTGAAATGCATTCAACCACCACTCTAACATATCAGTATAATCATTAACTATTCCTCTTTCTTTGTACATGTATGAATGCACAACTCACTGTATCACATAAGAATACTCAAGTGTGTCAACAGTAAGCTGAATAAATTGGTAATTTTTAGCTTTCTGGTTTTCCTTAAGACTGAAATCTTTTTTCTTTCACCAAACTATGAACTAATTAAATAATCTTAACAACAAAGAGCCAACTTTGGTAATAATTATTATCTACTTTCATAAATGTCCAAAAATAGTCTTAGAAAGATGCATGTGATATTCTTAAAAATGTATACCCTTTAAGCTAGTAACTCCATCTCTGGATCCTTAAGGAAATAAGATTTAGTTACCATGAAATTTGTTATGATTTTCTTTGCAGAAAAATTTAGAGAACTCTTCAAATGTGAATCACAAGGAATAGGAAATTATGGTAAAGATATATAACAAATTATGTTAAAATTGATGATGAGAGATATAGATAAATATAACATGGGTTAGAAAACAGGATGCACTGGATCTCACTTTTGTTAAAAAGTACTTAAAACAAAAACACAAATATATGTTTTCTGGTGGGATAAACACTCTTCTACAAAGAAGGGCACGGAGAAGGGCCGAGAAAAGAAGAGTAAATAAATTTTAAAATATCTAAAAAATTTAATTTAGAGAGACAGACAGAGAAAAGAGAATTGGTAAACTTAAAATCAATGAACTATAATTTGAATACTAATTCGTCATGAAAATTAAACCAAAATTATGTTTATCACACGAGTGAAATTTTGAACACTTTCTAGATGGATATTTGACGCAATAAATTTGTTTTTAAAGTTGTATTTTAGAGGTATACCTCTTTTAGAGTTATAGGCTGAAACATACTTTAAATCAGTATTGAGTGAAGAGAGACTAGGTTGGGGAATAGACTGATAATGAATTTTAAATTTTTCAAGAGGGTAATTAGAACATTCACCCCACTCATTTTAGTGTTCCATCTATTAGCACCCATATTTACATTTTTTCCATATATAAAAACTAGACATGTCCATATATATAAACTTGCATAGGAAGAGTTCTGTAAGAATGCATAGCAAGGGGCTGGGGATACAGCTCAGCAGCACAGCGCCTGCCTGGGAAGCACAAGGTCCTAAATTCAATTACTGGTACAAAAAGAAAGATGGAAAGAAAGTCAGAAAGATGGAAAGACAGAAAGACAGCAAGACACAAAGAAAGAAAGACAGACAGACAAACAGAAAATTGGATGGACAATTCTGACTCTTCTTACCCACTCCTAAGTGCTAGAATAATTGGAGTGATAAACTAATCATTATCATTGATTTTAGCTTAAAGAAGAAAAAAATGATGTTTATATCTTCATAATTTTTTAATATCTACATAATTTAGATAACCACATTTTATAGCAGGTCAAATGAGGAAGTTAATGATCTTCTACAAACAAATACCATAGTTATTTTAAAAGTTCTAAAGTTAACAATGTTAAGTGGCATATAAGATATTCCTATCTACACTCTAACTGTATTTTGAGATGTAGGTTCTTATCATCTGCCTATTTTAACCCAGTTTTGTATGCTAGATTTAACAGAAAAGCATGCTGTATTAAAAACAAACAAACCCACAACTGTCTTACCGGTGGCAAAGAGTGCCGACCACATTCAATTGTAACCAGTTTGTGACATTTCTTATGAACCAAGAGTTTACAGTTGATACACTTATATCCCTGGCGTCCAAGTCCCCATATTCGGTCTGTGCAGATGGCACAATGAGCACGCTAGAAAAAGTAATTCAACAGTATTTTATTAACGACAACAAAACCATCATTTCCCAAAAGTTTGTTCTTAAAATACTGAAAATAGCTGGCATTCTTCTATAACTTGGTTCCCTTTAATCTACTGTCAACTGTCAGCCAATGTGGGGGAGAGGGGGAACCCAAAATTCTTCATTTGTGAATTTTCAAAAGCTGTGAAGGTCAGTGAAAAAGCAAAAGACAAAAAGAAAAAAAAAACAAAAAATCTTGTTTTAAAGACACAGCAACATTTATAATTATGTTGCTTTCTGTTACTAAATTCAAGAAATTCCTACCTTCATATAATGAAATTCACAAGAATGAAACCAGAAAAGGAGAATTAAATTTGAAAAACATACAGTCTTCCGCACTGTTTAAAGGTTAAACCAAAACTATTTTAAAAGAGCAATACTTAAGTGTCTTTCATTTTTCAGTCTTCTTTAAATTTTAGTGCTAAGAGTTTGAGATCTTTTTATTAAACTTAATTTTATTTATTTCTATTTTGGTTAATGAATTTAGGACATGACGCTAGGGTTTTTGAATTAGGGTCTCCCTATGTGGTTCAAGCTGCCCTTGAACTCATGGCACTCCTCTGGTCACAGCCTAACATTAGTTTTAGAAGGGAAGTGAAACCATACATTTGTGTTCAACAAAAGAAGTTTTAAAAGCACGGACTCCTAGAGACAGGCTGGCTGCTCTCCAACTGGAGCTCTGCTACTTATTGGTTGTGTATCTTGCACCAGTTACTTAACTAACCTGGCTTCATTTTCTTGTCTATAAAATGCAAATAAACTGGGATGTTGTGAAGATTACATGAGTTAATATACATATGCATTTGGAAAACTGCTTGATACATAAAATGCTAGTATATAGTTTATGGTATATAGTATATAGTATATAGTTTGCTATTACTATTTCCTAAAAAGGGAAAAAGTAAATAACATCAAATTAGTTTGTAATGTAAACCTTGCTGAATTTCCAGGCTGCCTTAAATTGTATTTAAAACTTGATTTTAAAGTTTGGTTTTCTGTTTTGTTTTTTGAGAGAGGGTCTACTATCTACTTCAGCTGGCCTTGAACTCATTGCAGTCTAGGGTGGCCTCAAATTCATGATTCTCTTGACAGTCTCCTGAGTATTGACATTAAAGGTGTATGCCACTACATGTCCAAATGAAAACTGAATTAGCTAGGTATATAATTAACCATCCAATCTGGTGTACATTTAAGAATAAAAGAGGACAGACAGTTAACTAAACGGTAGAGCACTTGCCTAGTATGTGCAAGGCCCTAAACTGTATCTCAGTCTCTAAAAAAATAAAACAAACAAAAAAATAACCATGCTGTTCTAGGAAAACCAGGAATATAAAGCTTTGTTACTTACTTCTTTAAAGGGGTATAACAAAACTTAATAACAAAGCTCTCTTTCTCTTCTGACACTAAAGCAAAATATGAACAAACAAAAAACATCTCATATTAGCATCATTCAACAAACTAAGTTTACCCTGTTGAAACGCTTGGCTTGAAAAGTATGGCCATTTGCACAATAAAGCTTTCTCCAGCGGCGTGCACCTCTGCGGTAGATAGATTCTGAAAAGATTAAAAATTAACAAAAAAAATAGAGCAAGTGTGAGTAAAATTCATTTTAAAAAGTTAAGTCTGATTCTTTTCATAGTAAACACTGCAGGAAAAAAACATTGGTAAAAAAACACAAAAAAAATACAGTACAGGTTTTTCAAGGGCATAGATAAATCAAAGGCTAGAACCTAGATCTCTGTATAACTAGCACTGCTTTTCTTTTTCTTTTTCCCAAACTTTTTTTAATTTGAAAAAATTTAAGCCTACAAAAACTTAAAAGAGAATAACTATCTGCACTAGCTTTACCAAATATTAACATTTTGTCATATTTGCTTTCCTCTCTACAAAAATACAAATTTTCTTTCCCCCAGTATCATTTGGAAGTAAAATACAGATACCATTCACTCTTAGAGATTAAGGACATTCTAATACTTACTTTCAAGTGTTACAATCAGAAAACAAAAACAAGAAAACAAGCATACATATCATACTTGTTTATGCATATATGTATGCATACATATATGTGCACATAGGTGCAAAGATAAAGCAAGCAGAGAAAATATTAGCAATTGGTAAGTCTGAGGAAAGGACATATGTATATTCTTGCTTTCAATGTTGTTTCATCTCTTTCAGAGCTGAAAATTTCCAAAATCAAAGCCATGATTAAAATTAACTTAACCTTCCTTTCATATGTACAACAGATATTTATGTAAACTGGACTATCTGAATTTCATCTGGCAAAAGTACAGTTTAAGCAGTTATTAGTATATATAAAATCAGCATGGAGATGGGAGTTGGGGTACATGCTTATATCCAAACATTCAGGAGGCTGAGGCAGGAGGATTGCTACAAGTTTGAGGCTAGGATGGGCTACACAGTAAGACCTTGTCCCAAAAAAAGAGAAAAGAAATTAGGTGGGCATAGTGGTGCACACCTGTAATCCTAGCACTCAGGAGGCTGAGGCAGGAGCATCGTAAGTGTGAGGCCAGCTTGGCTACACAATGAGTTCAAGCCCAGCCTGAAACTGCATGATGAGACCCTGTCTCAAAACAAAAATAAACAAAAAAAAAAAAAGAAAATAAGACTGAAAAAATGAAAAAGCAAACAAAAATTTTATAACTGATCATTTCCCCCACTTCTATCATTATATAATTCTTTTCTTAGATAGTACTGGGGATTGAGTCCAGGGAACACATGGAGTATTGAGCTACACCATCTGCCCACATTTATTTTGAGACAGAGTCTACTAAATCACCCTAGCTGATCTCATCCTTGCTATCTTCTTGAGTAAGCTGCCCCAGAAGCTTGGAGCTGCTGGGATTGTAAGAAGGTATCACATGCCTGATGCACAACTCTGTATAAAGTACACAAATACTCACTATCTTCCCCTGGACAAGGCATTCCAGGACGTTCTGGTACACAAGGGAATACTAAAAATGAAAAACAGCCTTTTTAGAACACATACATTATTAAGAATTAAAATGACCCCTCAAAAACTGAACCTCTGTTTACTTGAAACAAAAAGTAATTGAACCTCTCTTTACTTGAAACAAAATACTTAGTGTATGGTTATCATTATTTGTTAACGGGATCCATTTTACCAAGGATACAAAAAAGATTTCATGACAACAAGTACGTCTATAAACAATGTACTAAAAAACCAGTTTACTAATTCCAGTCCTTTGTTACTCATCACTAATTATCTGTCTGCTTTTAAAGAAATTAACTACTTACTTAAATATTTATTGTATTACAGTTCTCAGATGAAGAAATACAAATAGCAAATAAATAAATGAAAAAATGTTCATCGTCATTGGTCATTAGAGAAATGAAAATTAAAATAACACTGAGATTCCATCTCACTCCTGAAAGAATGGCCAGGATCAAGAAAACTACCAAAAACAAATGCTGGAGAGGCTGTGGGGAAAAAAGAACTCTCCTGTACTGTTGGTGGGAGTGTAGGCTGGTGCAACCACTGTGGAGGTCAATCTGGAGACTCCTCAAAAAGCTGGGATTGGAAGTCCCACTCAACCCAGCTATTCTACTTCTAGGCATATTCCCAGAAGAACTAAAAACATCCCACAGTGATATATGTGCACCCATGTTTACAGCACCACAATTTGTAATAGCCAGATCTTAGAAACAACCTAAGTGTCCATCAACCAGGGAATGGATAAAAAAGTTGTGGTATTTTTATACAATGGAGTACTACTCAGCTATAAAGAATGATCACATTGATATATTTATAAATAAATGGATGCAACTTAAGACCATACTCATAAGCAAAATAAATCAAACTCACAGGTATAAAAACCATATAGTCTAAGTGAAAGAAATGGTAAGAGTACATAAGAGTTTTATGATAATCATGATTCCCCATTACATTGCTTTGAAGCCTTATAATGTTTGCATTCATTAGTTGGAATGGTTTTTATTATCTGTGATAGTGTAAATAGCTATTTTGAAGAAAACAAGATATTAGAATAGCCAGTGCTGATTTAATATCATCTTACTCTGAAGTCCTACTATGTTTTTGTTCTTCTGTTTCCTTTGGCTCTATCATGTTATATCTTATTGGATATTATTATGTGTGATAGTATAAACAAATTATCTATGGAAAATGAGATAATACAGTAGCCATTGTTCGTTCTCTGTTACTTGGTTCTGAAAGCCCTGTAATGCTTTTATTCTCTTGAATGGTTTTATACTGTTTTGTTATGTTTGATACTATAATATATGAAGTTATGCTCAACTATTTCAAAGAAAGAGACACTATGGTAGTTACTGTTAATTATGGGTTGTCTTGTGGTAAAATGCTGGTTTGCTTGCATTGTTCTGATCTGATCTGCTTTTTTATGCCTCTTTGGTCTTAATCTCTTTAAAATAAAAAATTTATTGTATTGACAATTTTGTTACAATGAAAAATTAGAATTAAATTACTGTTTAAAAATGTTTTATATATAATTACAAATACATATAAATATTAATACATATAAATATATAAAACTATATGTAACTATGAAACATAGAACATTACAGCTTTTAAAAGATGTATGTTAAATTCAAGAATAAACACATAAGAAACTATACCAAAAATCCAAATGTGTAAGTTTACATAAGGACCTACAAATTTATAAACATATTAAATCATCCATTTTTATAATGAGGTAGAATAAAAAACAATGGCACATGTATGAATAGACAACCATTTATAGTCTGTAATGTTATAAAGGACATTAAAGGGACAGAGTACAAGAAGCAGTTTTTAATATGTATTTTTAAAAGCTGAAATATAATTTCTGAAAAGATGTAGTATAAAAGGCAATAAAACATAAGACTGTTTAATACCACTAATGAATCATTTCTTTAAGTTTTTTTTTTTTTTTTCCTTTTTTTAGAGACAGTTTTTTTACTTTTTTGGAGCAGTTCAGGCTGGCCTCAAACTCACAGCAGTCCTCCTCCCTCGGTCTCCCGAGTGCTGAGATTACAGGTATGTGCCATTAATGCCAAGCCTCTTTAAGTCTTTGTTATAATTTTCTACTAGCAAAAGATCATGAAAAAAAAATAGATGACTTCTAAAGCTCTATTAGGATTTCAACAAACTATCTTTTTTTTTTACCGGTACCAGGGATCAAACTCATGACTTCACGCTTGCAAGGCAGGCACTTATGCTGCTGAGCTAAATCTCTAGCCCCCTCAACACACTATCTTAAAGTTGTTTTAAACTTACCCTAAATCCTAAGACTGTAAGATCGACTGATTTTACCTTCTGTAGTATTTAAGATATTAAATAAGCACAATAATGGAAAGATAAAAAGGACAACAGAATTATGTCTTAAAATGGTCCACAATAGATTATTCATAGGGGCTGGGGATTTAGCTCAGCGGCATAAGCGCCTGCCTTGCAAGCAGGCAGTCATGAGTTCGATCCCTGGTACCGATAAAAAGGAAAAAGACAAAAAAAAAAAAAAAAATAGATTATTCATAAGCCCAGAACAGTATGAAATGAGTACGTCTTTACCATGAATTAAGAGCTCAGAATCCTTGTTTAGTTCATAAAGCCTAAAGGCTTCTTCTAACTCCAACTGAGATGACACAGTACACGGGTCTCCTAAAAAATACAAAAAAGTGAAGTTCAACTATTTAAATCTCTAACTGTGATGATTAGTAAGCAAATTCCATAATACAAAACTTGGGGAAATATTTGGCAAGGACTGGTTATTTATTTATATAATTCTATTCTCTGAAGTAGGTGACATAAACTTTGATTCTACTTGTACAAAATATTACAAAAAGTTCATGTAATATGACATTTAGCATATACAAACCATTTTATCAGTAATATGTATATTCAAAATGTAGCAAAAAAAATTTATTCAGCCATATTTTAAACTACCACTGATAGAAAGAAGCTTCAAAAGGAAAGAGAAACTGAGGTGGGGGAACAGAGAAAAGGAAGCGGAAAAAATTATGTATATTATATACTTATGTGGTAGTTAAAATAATTATACTACTAATTTCTCTTAGTTCAATGAAAAGAAAGGTTTGTGCTAATATGGTCTGGACAATTAAATGCCAATATCTTCTACTGAATAACCAAAGATAACACTATTAAAACTGTATTGATCACTGTTACCCTCTCATCATCTTGATTTGAAATTTTGTTTGTATTCTCTTAAATAAAATTTAGGAGCTAGGGATTTAGCTCTATGACATAAGCACCTGCCTGGCAAGTGTGAGGTTGTGAGTTCGATTCCTGGTACCAAAATAAATAGATTAAAAAATTTAATTTAAAAAATAAATAAACTACCACTGCTCTGTGAGTAATGGTATGGCTAAGAACAGTCATCCTGTTACATGTTTTTTTAGAAGAGGATGCAAAAGTGGTTCCACTGCCACACCATGGTTGCTCAGAAATGGATGTAATCATTTTGGCCAATTTTTTCCTTCTGGTGAGATGAGAGCCTGCTCAAAAGTATCTCAGAAAAAAAAAATTACAGTACTCTTAAAAATAGTCCTGTTGAGCTGCTTTTAAATGTAAATAAACAGTTGTAGCAACCACACACAGAAAGTAAGAAACATTTCCTTAGCCAACCTGCCGAGGAACAGGTGTCTCATGGACAGTGACCCTCGCTGACGAACCCGTTACTGGAGCGTAGTTGATGCCTGAGCATTTTTTTTTTTTTTTTTTTGCTCATTCCTGTGATTATGTGATCATTATGACACACTAGATACCACCAGCCCTGTCCAAAGCTCAGTCACTGTCCGCAGAACTCAGCCTACTACTGAGAGAAAACTTTAGGTGTGTGCTTTCCCATTGTCTGAAAGACTAGAGTGCTTCTATTCTCTTCAACTTGGCTCCCAAATCCCTACTGCCCTTTATTTTCTCTGGGCATATTTCATTAGTCCTCCTCAGTCCCATTTCCCATTTTCCCTCCTTCCGTCATCTCTGCTCAGGCAAGGGCAAGTTTGAGTTTCCCTCTCAAGAATCTTTCTCCCATCCAGGCTGCCACTCCACTCATTCTGCAGCCACACTTCTGAAGAGTAAACTGTACACTGAAATTGGCAGGATTAGAGAAGAGGAGAAAAGGGGGCAGCATTCTGATTTTTCACTTCATGTTTTTCATTAGTATTTATTTAATCATATTTAAAATTTTTATAATGAAACAAAAGAGTGATCATTTTTATCTGTTATCTTCCATACATTTCTCAAAATTCTGCTATCAGGTCTTAGTTCAAATATTCCAATAAAACCAGGGCTGCAAAGTTCATCGTGACAGCTGAGATCAAGGATAGCCTCGCAGCCAGTGCCTATTTCAGTTGACCTCTCTATACTGTCTAAGTTGTCCACTGACTATTTATAGAAACTCTAAGTCTAGATTTCTAAAATATCACTCAGCTTTTGTAACTTTCCACAACAGCCCACCCTCTGATTCCTGGGAAGCAGCACATACTTTTCACTGTTACTTTCTTGAATAAACTTGGTCACTATTTAAAAAAAAAAAAAAAATACAACATATCATTCTCCTGGTTAATCAACACTTTTTAGCTTCTTATTTTGGAAATATTTAAACATGTTATAAAATCTTGGTTTCTCTGTATATTAACCCATTTATTTCTTGTCATTATACAATTTTGAACAAATCTAACTCTAGATAAAAATTCCTTACTATGGGCTGGAGGTTTAGCTCAGTGGCCTAAATGCCTGCCTGGCAAGCACAAGGTCATGATTTCAATTCCCAGTCCAAACACACACACACACACAAATACCACCACCACCACCAAAGCCTTAATATAATCACAATACTATTAATCTATAAAAAAATAAACTATCAATTCTCTATAAAATACCCAGACATAGTCATATTCAAAAGAATGAAGCTGAACCTTTGTGTTACACCATAAACAAAAATTAACTCAAATGGATTAGAGACCTAAATGTAAGAACTAGAACTACAAGACTTAGCAGAATGCACAAGGGAAATGCTGACACTGGATTAGACAATGGTTGCTTGGATATAACACACCAAAGGCACAGTCAAGAAAATAAAAAGTAGATGAACTGGATTAACATCAAAATTAAAGTTGTTTGTATATCAAAGCACACTATCAATAGTGTGAAAAGCCAATCCATTGGACTGGATGGACATATTTGCAAAACATCTAATAAAGTACTAATATTCAGAATGTTTTTTAGAATTCTCACACCTCAATCAACAACAAAAAGAGCCTGATTTTTTTTCTTTTTTGACTTTTATTAGTTCACATTTATAATACATTATAATTGCATTCACTGTAGGGTACACGTACATAACACATTTCGATTCCCTTCTCCCCACCTGACTCTATTCCTCTTTTATTTTTTCTAGTATCAGATTCATTTATCTTATAAGACTTTATAAAGTTAATATATGAAGATTAAAACAAGACTAAGAACCCGATTTTCTTTTCTTTTGCTCATTCCTGTGGTTATGTGATCATTATGACACACTAGATACCACCAAACCTGTCCAAACCTCAGTCACTGTCCGCAGAACTCAGCCTACGACTGAGAGAAAACTTTAGGTGTGTCCTTTCCCATTGTCTGAAAGACTAGAGTGGGATCGAACTTGTGACCTCACACTTGCCAGGCTATGCCACTACGCTAAACCCCCTAAGAGCCTGATTTTCAAAATTAATGAAAGACATTTCTCCAAAGAAGACACAAATGACCAACAAACACATCATCATTAGAAAAATGCAAATCAAAATTACAAGTTAAAGCTGGGCACTGGCAGTGCGTGCCTATAATCTCAGTACTTGAATGGCTGAGGCAGGAAGACTGCTGTGAATGCGAAGCCAACCTGGGCTTGAGTTTGAGGCCAGCTTAGATTACATAGTGAAACCCTGTCTCAAAAAAAAGCAAAAACCACAATCTAACCAACATATGTTAGCACATCACACTCATTTAAATGGCTACTAAAAAATAAAATAGAAAAACAAAAAATGATAGCAAAAATAGGAGGAATCTAGAACCCTTGTGCCCTGGTTGTGGGACTATACAATAGTACAATGACTGTACAAAATTCTATGGTGGTCCACAAAAATAAACAGGATTTCTGAGCATATACCTAAAGAACTGAAAGCAAGAACTTGAAGAAGTATAGGTATAATAGTCCAGTCTACGCATGGGAGACAGGTTCCAAGACCCTCACGGGTGACTAAAACTACACAGAGTATCAACCCTATTAGTTGCTTTTTCCTACACATACAAACCACTAATTTAATACTTTCCTCATCTTAATTAAATCAATATGTAGTGTAACTTTTGCAGTTTGAGATGAACAGAAAAATAAAAATGAATCTTTTTCTTTCTGCATAATTTCATAGATATAAGATTTATTCCTATTATAAATCTTAACAGCTTTAGAATATGATTTTTTTTCTTTCTATATTACATCAAGATGGAGTTTATGGTTTTACTTTGGAGCCTTTAAAAATTATTTATTTGTGCTACTGGGTATAGAACTCAGGACCTGAGCTGCATCCACAGCTCCCTACCCCTTTTAGAAATCTTTTTGAGGCAGGATCACACTAAGTCGGTAAACTGCCCAGGTTAGGTTCAGACTTGGGATCCTCTGGCCTTAGATTTCCAGGGTGCTGATGTTACAGGTGTGGGCCACAATGCCAGACTGAAATTGATAGTAAAGTAACATAAGTAAAATATGAGTTATCTGAACACAAGCACTGAGATACCATAATAATTGACTTGATAACTGAGACAGCAGCTAAGTGACTGTGAGTAGTGAACGCAGACTATGCTAGACAAAAGGGATCACAATACTTAAAACAGGATATAATATAAAACTTAGGAACTGTTTACTTCATAACTTTTCCATTTAGTGTTTTCATACTGTCATGAAAGCCACTGAAAGCAAAACTGAAGACAAGGAAGGACTACTGTCCACGTACATTCCCAGCAGCATTATTCCTAACTGCCAAGAGGTGGAAGCAGCCCAAGTGCCCACGGATGAGTAAACGGATAAACAAAATGTGGTATGTAGATACACAGTCTTTAAAAAGCAGGAAATTCTGACAGATGCTACAACACTGACAAGTCCTCAGAACATATGCTATGTGAAATAAGCCAGTCACAAAAGGACAAATATTGTATGTGCTACCTATAGTGCAACTTCCAGAAGCAGTCAGTAGGTTTACTTACTAGCACTTATCCGCAGATGGACTTGCATAGGTGGAAAATGATACTTGTATAAGGAAATTCATGATAATACTATTTAGATTTGTAAACATTTGGAAATAAACTATTATTCAATTATTTATGTAGGCTTTAAAGAAAATGCAGGAGCTCCACATGTACTGATATGGAATGCCTCTCCATGTTACACTACTCAGTTAAAAAAAAAAGTACAGCTAGGCATTATGGCACATGCCTGGAATTCCAGCACTCTAAGAGGCTGAGAGAGGAGAGTTGCAAGTTCAAGTCCAGCCTAGGCAACTTTGTAAGATACTGTTTTAAATAAAAAACTTAAAAAGAGTTAGGGATATAGCTCAGTGCAAAGACCCTACCTAACTCAATTCTTAGTACTATAGGTAAGTAAGTAAATAAATAAATAAAGTATCCAGAGTAAGACTTACTCAGTGTAGTGACTTTGGAGGTAACAAATCTTGTATATTAACTAGCAGACTTATTCTGTTTTCAATGCATCTATTGTTTTTTTTTTGTTTTTTTTTTTTACTCTATTAAAGGAAATAACAAAGTAGAGCATTCGACTTACTTTGAGGCAGGGTCTTGCTAGGTTGCCTTGGCAGGACTTGAACATATAGTCCGCTTGCCTCACCCTGCCAATGTACTGCAATTGCAGACATGCACCTCCATGCCCAGTCTTTTATTACATTTTTAAAGGAAGTAACAGAATAATATCTTAAATCAGAAGCTTACACAGGCAACCCTTCCTTTATTACTTACCTTCCTCATCTATCCATTTCATGGTAAAAAGCTGTTCATTGTCAAAAGAGCACATGTCTCGGACTTCATTGCAAAGGCCCTCAAAGGAAATGGAAGGCTCAAAATGTGTTATCATGATATCTCTGGAAAAAAACAGAAGTTTTAAGTTGGAAAGTGATTAAACTAGAATGTTCTGCCTATTACTGAATGCCCAACAATTTGATGGACCTTAGCTAGTGCGTCAACATGTATTACTTTGAGTACACTACTTCCATAAAGTTAGAAGATTGATATTTAATGACTCAAAAAACTGAAATTTCTTTCAGTTGCCAGGCCCAGATCTCCTCTCCCTCAGGCCCCACATCTCTCACTCAAAAGTCCTTCAACCTAGAGATGGCTCTTCTATCATGCTGCCTCACTTAGCACTTATTTCCACAGATTAATCGCCCATGGCTCTGTTAATCATTCTCTCTGGCATGACTTCTGGGTCTTTCACTTTCATTTTTACCTCTTCCCAAAAGAATTACACTCTGCCAAAACTGGCTTTAAAGTGCTTACATTTTAAGATACGTAACCCAAAAACACGTAGGAAAACATAAACATGTATTTCTCTTTTGGATTAGCATTAGGTGAGCAATGATTTATAGTCACCAAGAAGCTACAGTGGTACCTTGGTTCATAAACTTAATTCACTCCACGACTTTAATCACAAACTGAATTTGTAGCAAACTAAATCAAATTTTCCCATAAGGTTCAATGGAAATAATGTTATGCTATTATGAACCATATACATACACACATACACACACACACACACACACACACATATGTAAACCACAAAATACAGTACAATGTGAAAAGAAAGAACATTAACCTTTCTTGTGGCAACTTTTGGCATGGAGACAGGAAGGCAGATGGGAAGACGGACACTGTTTAGAGGAAGAGTCCCTTATAATGATATTGGGGAGATCTCTTTCACAGGTTTCCTCTCTTCTTTGTCTCTTAGCTGCAGGGTCAATTTTGAATTAAAAAAAAATCTGTCTAATGTCACTTTTTTAATCTGTGCTGTACATCCTCCAGAAATGAGAGGACATCTTATTATCACTCATCAGATTCAACACTCTGGTCATTAGTTATGTTGGGGTGGTGCTTCTCAAAGAAATCCTGGCACTGGTTCCATTGTTCCATAATGGATTTTATCACACCACTGCTAACCTTCTCCCTTGCTTTTTCTTCCTCAGTAGAATCTCCTCAATAAGAGCCTTCTGCTGCTCACTCCAGAGTTCAGCAACTTCTTACACGTCGGCACCTCCTAATGGTCAAGCTCCTCTATGTTTGTGCCATTGATGCCCAGGCCCATACATAATCTCTGCTGCCAACTATGCATCAGACCTTTGAAAGTCATGTTCAGTGACATATTTTGGCTATAGTTTCCTCCAGGCTGAGTTTAAGGTCTACTATGTGACATCTTCTCAGGCTTTGTCAATGAGGTTGATACAGTGGAGGACACTGAAATATTTCTCCCACAACTCTTTCAGAGTCAAGGACATGTTTTCAGTGCCATTAAGACACCTGGTGAAGCCTTTCTGCACGGCTTCTTGAAGTTGCAGATCACTTGCTGGTTTATGGACAGCAGAAGAGGAATCCTCTTGGGGGGGAGAAATTTGGCCTGTGTGAAGTCATACTCAGTGTCTGTATCATCCACTAAGGTGGTATGCTGCAGCACTGGCCATCAGAAGAAGGCATCTTTTAGGAAGTTGGCTATCAAAAAATACTTCTGAATGGAGGGTGCAAACACTTCATGCAGGCATTCCATTAGCAACTGCCTTTTGACCCATGCTTTCACATTGGCCCTCCACACGGCAGGCAGTCTTGGCCATGTTCACATTCTGTTCCTCAAATGCATGACAGGTCTGGGAATGATGCACCAATAGAGGCTTAAACTACAGATAGTCACTTGTATTTACACACGGCAAAAGGGTTCATTTGTCTTTCAGAGGCTTGTGTCCCAGGAATGCCTTTCCCTACTGTATGATACAGGCTCTGTTCAGCATCTTCTTCCAGAAGAGCACTGTTTCATCACAGTTGAACACTTGTTGAGCAACATATCCTTCCACCCTCGTGGATCCTCATGGATTTGGTGAATTCTTTCTTGTAGGCTTCTGCAGCAGTCTTGTCAGAAATAGAAACTTCACCAGGTCTTATCACACTGTGGATGCCACTTCTGCAGAATTTACAAACCACCCTCCACTGGCTTTAAATTCATCAATTATCATACTTATAGAGGAGTTTTCCTACAGTAAATCACTGCAATTTCCTGGCGTTTTCACTGATCACAGTTTCACAAATGCTATCACCTGCCTGTCTCTCATTCAACCACACCAAGTTTTTCCACCTCTTGCAGTACTTATATCCTCTGTGTGTTAACATCATTACTTCTGCTGCCACATGGCTCCTTTGATGGTATCTTTAGCCTTCAAAATAGTTAAGAATGTTGACTTTGCCATCTTGCACTCCAAGGCCAGACAGGTCACACGAATACCATACTCATACTTCTCTACAATTCCTTCAATTCAATGGTTATTTTCTTTCTTTTTTTTTTTTTTTTTTGTCTTTTTCCTTTTCATCGGAACCGGGGATCGAACTCACCACTGCCTGCTTCCAAGGCAGGCGTTTATGCCGCTGAGCTAAACCTCCAGCCCCCAGGGTTATTTTCTTTAAAACATTCCTATTCTTGCTCGGCACGCTGTTACCTTCATTATTGCTCTGGATATTCTTTTTTTAAAAAATTTATTTAAGGAGAAAAAGAAAAAAACAGAAAAAGGGTACAAGTAATACAAAATTTAAAAAATAAACAGGGGGGCTGGGGATTTAGCTCAGCAGCATAAGCGCCTGCCTTGCAAGCGGGCAGTCATGAGTTCGATCCCTGGTACCAATAAAAATGAAAAAGACAAAATAAATAAATAAATAAATAAAAAATAAACAGTAAGAAATCACTAGTTAATAGATTACATATTCTCATCTTAGAGATAGTTGTTCAAGTTACAAAATTAAAGCATAAAAAGTGGACTTTCAAACAGTGAGAGTGCAAACAGTTTTGTTCAATGATCCAACAAAACTCAGTAATATGCTTATCTATCTTATACACTTAAACATATATGCAGTTATAACCTTTAGAGCACTTTCTTTTCTTTTCTTTTGTACAATGACAATTACACATTTTGGGTTTTATTGCTCCCACAGTTCTTATTACTTTTTTTGAAGAGACTAAAACCAAATGCGACATATTAGAACAGAGTCAGTCAAATCAAAAGGATGGACATAATAGATAATGTAAAAACAAAATACAAGGTGATCAACAATGGTTACCATACTGCCTCTTGCTATTTTGAGAAGAATTGCCAGTTATAATAAAATTGAACAAAACAGTAAAGAATAAAACCAAAGCATTGGAGACATTACAGGACTTAGAAGAAGATAATAGTCAACCAGAATGGGCATCATAATGAATCTTACTGTCTTCACAGTTGTTACTTATACTTTCGAACTTGGTACTATCAAGCAAAGCAGAATAGGGGAAAATCAGTCAAAACAAGAAGGTGAAGGCAATACAGGATTTCAAATCAAGTTAATAGGAAATCAAACGAGGTTACTATAATGTATCCTGCTATTTTTTATTTTTCCCTTAATTAAAAAGATAAAAATAAAAAAGTAAATAATTTTTTAAAAAAAAAGGGGGATTGAGATAAGAGAGAGCATAACAACAGAACAGTGCAGATCAAAACATAACCATTTAAGCAAAATAGTGTTTCACCTCAAGACATCCTGACATAAAAATAGTTACCATAAGTGTCTCTTTCCTTGAAATCTTTGAGTACAACTTCGTATACTGTAGCACCAAACATATCAAGACATTATAAAACCATTCAAGAGAATGACAGTATTACAGGGTATTTAGAACCAATTATCAGAAAATGAACAATGGTTTCTATATAATCTCCTTGTCTATAAAAGTTTTTGCTTATATTATCACATATAATAAAATCCAATAAGATACAACCTTTTAAGACTGATGGAGCCAGAAGAATACAAGTTTGATGGGACTTCAAAACAAGATGATACTGGGCTGGAGGTTTAGCTCAGTGGCATAAGCACCTGCCTTGCAAGCAGGAGGTCATGAGTTCGATCCCCGGTACCGATAAAAATGAAAAAGACAAAAAAAAAAAAAAAAAAAAAAACAAGATGATACTAAATCAGCACTAGCTAGTATGATGTCTTGTTTTCTCCACTAGAATCTTGGTATTTTCCTGTTTTAGAATATCCTGCAATACTACTCTGTAGATTTGAATTGGTGTTTGCAAATTCCCCTAGTTCCTCTTTATCCTGAAAGCACCTTGCTTTTCCATCAATTTCTAGGGACAGTTGTGCAGGATATACCAATCTTGGCTAGAGGTTATTATCTTTCAAAGCTTGAATTATTTCCCGCCACGCTCTTCGTGATTTGATGGTTTGTGCCGAGAAGTCTGCTGTAATTCTGATGGGTGTTCCCTTGTAAGTGATCTGTTTCTTATCTTTTGACGGCTTTTAATATTCTGTTCTTATATTGGATTTCTGGAATTTTGATTATTATATGCCTGGGTGTAGCTCTGTTTGGGTTGTAGGTGGCTGGAGTCCTGTATGCCTCATACATCTGAGTATCTTTACCTTTTGCTAAATTAGGGAAATTCTCTTGGATTATTTCTGTGAGTAGCTTTTGTAGTCCATTTGTTTGTGTCCCTACTTCTTTTATATTCTTTTTTTTTTTTTTTTTTTTTTTTTTGTCTTTTTCCTTTTTTATCGGTACCAGGGATTGAACTCACAACTGCCTGCTTTCAAGGCAGGCGCTTATGCCGCTGAGCTAAACCCCCAGCCCCTATATTCTTAATTCTTAAGTTATAGATCCTCTTATCATCTTCTAGCCTTTGTATTGTTGCTGTTTGGTTTTTGTTATTTTTAAGAAGTTTTTCATTTCATGCTCCCATATTACAAATCTGCCCTCCAGTTCAGATAGTCTATCCTTAGTTTCTTTCAAGCTGTTATGCCAGCTTTCGATAGTTTTTAGTTTCCTGGTAATCTCTTTGAACCTGTTTATATATTCTGTATT